GAGCTATGTTGAGAGAGGACTTCGAGTGATTGAGATGGAGAGGGAGGGCAAAGGCCGTATTCCCACTTCATCAGGTAGGGCTTCCTCCAGTAGCTCTGGGAGAAAGTGCCAGATAGCTCCCAGTGGCGGGAGGAAGGGGACCTGCTTGGTTTATGTCTGTGCACCTCAGTGGTATGTGTGGTGGTGTTCACATGGGTATAGACAGCAGTCAACTCCCAGCCACCTAACTGGCCCCATCCTCAGTGACAGATAGCTGCTGGCACTGCCCTTGGAACTAGTTCTTGGCCTCACTCTCAGTTGCCTCCTGCCTCCTCCCTTCTGGCTGTTCCTTCTTGGTCTCTGACTGAGTCCCTCCCCGGGACATTTCCTGTCAGTGAGCCCCAGGGTCAGTCTGTGATGGTCCTTTCTCCCCTCCCATTCCCTAACGGGCCCATCTGCTCTCCTCGCTCTAAATGTCTTCTCTAGCCATCAAGGCCCACATTTGTTTTATCTCCAGCTCAGGCTCCCTTCCTGATCAGTAACTGCTGAATTCTGCATGACACCTCCACTCGGGATTCCAGCCGGCCACATGTCAAAATCGAAGCTCCTGACACACCCCCGTAACCTCTCCGTTCTTCTCCATCTTAGTAGCTGGCACAGGTCCTCCCCGTTGACCCGGAGTTTTTGGTCTTTGCTCTCTGCAGAAAATCCTTCCTGCTCTACCTGCAGACTTCCTGCGGAATCCACCCACATTCCTGACCCTGCCTCTGTCCTCCTGTCCATTCCTAATCTATACTAATTTCCACACAAAGCATCAAAACGTACTTCTCAAATATTTTCCAAAAGATCTTCCTTTGACTCAGTAAAAAGAAAAGGCTTTGTAGAGGTCTGAGTTCGTCCGGACCCCAAGACCTCTGAACCTCATCGCCCCTAGCCCCAGCAACCCTCTTGCTGTTCAGGAACTCACCGGGCACGTGCCTTTTCAGGGCCTTCACCCTGGTTGTTTCTTGTGTCGTTTGCTCTTCCCCAACAGAGCCTGTAACCAGCTCCTTTCCCTCTTCAGCTTGTTCAGATGCCACTAGCACTGTGAGGCCTGACTCCCCACTGAACCCTGCACTCCGCACTCAAACTTCTATCGTCACCTCGTGTTTGTTAGGCTGGTTGTTTAGGCCTGTGTACACTGGAGTTTAAAGTGCCCACAGATAGAGGCTTTGTCCCCTGGTTGTCTAGATCCTAGACACTCGGCTGGTGTTTGCTGAATGACATGAATGCGTAAATAAACGGATCTGAGACATTACTGTCTCCACATGAAAAAGCCACTGTCAGACATTTTGCTCATAGGACCTAGAGACGAAAGGAAGATTAAGGTGCAGAAAACAGCTGTCAAGTGCCTGAAACCAAAAATGAGACCCAGCTAGGGAAGGCGCCTCGCACTGCGCAGATACTGCCCATCCGTGCTGACTTGGCTCCCCCAGTTCACTGCTGTCACTCACCCTCACCCTCGTGTCCTAGAATTTGTTTTCCTGTAAAACTGCCTGCGGCTGTCCGAGTCTAGTCGTTTCCTTTCTCACTATGTGCCTTGCTGGGCTGAAGCGTCAGTTGAGCTCCTTTGTTTGCATTTTGCAGCTTCTTCCTGAAGTGCCGCAGCGCGTGTCTCACAGCTACCCCTGTCGCCGCCGGACTAGTCCCCGGGGGGCCTCCTTTTCTCAGCTCCACAGGCCTCGGGGATGCCCACAGTTTACTGGTGATCTGCTAGCCCGAGCAGCACACAGAGACACAGCATCTGACCCTCCTGGTTACTGACTTCATGCTTAGGATATTCAAGAGTCTTACTGCTGACTTTTATGTCAGTCATTTTCCATCTTCTGAGTGGTCGACTCATTAAAAATGGGATTTTTCTGTCGAGTAGCCATCTTACTTTTTCTGTTTTCACCATGAGGGGGTCTCTCTTTCCAGTAGTTGTCTGTGCACTGTAATTTCATTAATATCAAACTGGGTACTTTAAGAACTAGCTTGTTATATTGTTTCTTCTCAGAAGCTTTGAAACTGTGATGGATTTGATTGGTTTGGTTTTTCCTTCGCCCTCTTGCCTGCTCCCTTCACACAGAGGGTTGTAGACACTGCAACTCCCACAGTGTTCTTAGCATCTGGACACCTCATTTCCCTCACTTTTTCAGACTACACTGTAGCCTTGAGCAACTTGTTACCCCCAGTTTGAATAAGACGCTCCCCTCTGTACCACCTGATCCCAACCTGCTCCAATTCTTACATATATTTAGAGTCCTTCAGTGCTGCAGCTGGGGTCACAGCACCCACAGGAGTAATATAGGCCTCAGGTTGTCCAGGCCGGGGTAGCGGAGCCTATTCCCTGCACAGTCCAGGGCCTGGGTGGACGGCCCAGCGCACATTCTGCTCTGCTGTGGTGGTTCCCGAAGCCCTCGCTCAGCACCCCTGCAGTCAGGGTGCCCGTTGTCATCAGCTCCAGGTGGATTCTTTGAATCTTTCTGTTTTCAAAAACAGTGACTATATGCAGACCTCAGATGGTCCTCTCAGGCGGCGGGTTAATCAGGACTGTCTAGAAGTGCATGTGTTGGGGGTGGGAGGGACATACAGCTGAACGCTCTTTCTCCATGTCCTCCTAGGCATCTCCCCTCAGATGGAGGTAACGTGTGTGCCTCCTCCCACAAGCACAGTGTCCGCCATAGGTAACACAAATGGAGAAGAGGTGGGGCCCTCCGTCTACCTGGAGAGGCTGAAGATCCTCCGACAGCGATGCGGGCTGGACAACACGAAGGTACTGCTCCTTCCCTGTGTGCCAGGGAGGGCGTGGCAAGCCAGTCAGGGACAGATGGCCCCTTGACCTGCTTCAGCGGTGTCTCCTCTTCTCTCAACAGCAAGACGACAGGCCTCCACTGACCTCTTTACTCTCCAAACCAGCCGTTCCTCCCGTCGCCTCCTCCACAGACATGCTGCACAGCAAGCTCTCCCAGCTCCGGGAGTCGCGGGAGCAGCACCAGCACTCAGACCTGGATTCTAACCAGACTCACTCTTCAGGAACCATGACCACCTCCTCCTCCTCCACAGCTAACATTGATGACTTGAAAAAAAGACTGGAGAGAATAAAGAGCAGTCGCAAATGAAGCTGCCTGGCCCCGGACCTGCAGCTTTAGTTTACTAACTAGAAGTCCTCATAGTCTAAGCGGCCCGCGGGCCTGGTGTACACAGCGGGTTGTATGTATCATACTGCGGAGCTGGGGGAGGAGTCGCTGTGGCACAAGTATTTGTACATACTCTGCTTCTCCGCCAGCATCCTGCTCTAGCAGACTGTCAGTGTATTAGTGTAGTGTACAGACTTGTAAACAGCTGCACCCCTCTCAGCTCAGACTAGTTTCCATATCCTTTTTCTTTTTAATTGTTCATTTGTAAAGTTGTCTTAATCTTTCTAGCTTTTAACTACTAGAAACTCTTAATAGTTTTTTCCTTTGAGTTTGTGAGCCCTTCCTCCTGTACCCTGGAGGGCGCTGTATTCTGTATGAACGCATGGCATGATACAACTAATTTAAGAGTCTTTTATAAATAAAGTTTGCATTAACTATAGCTGTCTCCCAAGTTGCTCCGTGTCTGGGCCTGCTGGGCAGCACTGTCCCTGTCCTCGGGACCACCTGGGTGTCCAGCCAGCAGAGGGGCTAACTGCTATGTAAGGAGCACCCCTTTCATGGCTCACAGACTTGCTTACTCTCTTTGGATCAGGGGGAACTGGCCTTCCTGTTCCCCAGGCAGCTTCTAGGGAGCAAAGAAATCTCACATTTCCCTGCTTGAGATTTGGGCACAACGTCCCTCCCAGCGTCGTGATGGCTCTAAGTGCATAGACTTCCGGGGCTCACTGAGTCACTGCGGCTCTCACACCACAACTGGACATGGGGTCATTGGACCACAGATGGTGTGGAAGAGCGAAAGCGCTTCCTACCTGTTAACACGGTCACTTGAGTCCACACTCACACCCTGACAGGACCTAAGAGCTGAGGCGCCACCTCTGGAGTAAACTCTACAGGCAGGAAGGCCCATCAGTACTGAGCAGCTGTTCAGGCACTCCTCTCCCCTCCAGCCTCGTATGCCTTCAAGATTCCATTTCTCAGTAAGACAGTTTGCTCACGTCTGCCAGCCACTGTGTGCACAGAAATTCCAGGAAGCAGCAACCCCCCTGATAGGCTGTTTGCCAGAGACAGGAACTAGGGACATGCCAGGAAGCAGTGAGGATAAAAGCAGCAGTGATTCAGAGTGTTCACCAAGTCACTGGGCACTCTGCGTACCTGATTTAATCCTCGCAGTCCTAACAGTTAAGCCATATCCTTATATCCATCTTCCATAAGGAAAGCAGTCGGGGGCGAGCAGATGACTTGACCATGGTTCTTTTTTAAAGATGGAGCCCAGAAGATGAACCAGGCAGCGTGATGCTAGCGGCCCCCATCCTAACCACTGTACCCACAATACTCTTAAACGAAGACACTGAACAGACCAGGCCTCCAGGGGACATAAATGTGATGTCACTTTAGTGACAGGAGGCAGGTAAGTTTGAGATCACTCACTACTCACTCTGCAGCTGCCCTCCTCACTTCTCTGCTCTTAGGACAAGCTCCTCATAGCCCTGACCACACAGCCACGGAAAGACAGGCCTCAGGATCTCCCATGTCTCAAATCTACTTTGACCCTTAGCTGTGTGATCTTGAGCAAGGTAGCACTCCAGTGTCAGTTCATCGCCTGCCTCTTGTGAGGATCATCACATGAGACCATCCGTCAAAGCCCGAGTCTGACGTATTTTAAACATTCATAAATTCAAGAGCCCATCTACTCTGGCTCTGTGCTAGGGGTGGTGGATTTTCCTAAGTCCTGCTTCTCCAGTAGAACTAGCTCTTCCGGAGTGGCCCATGAACAGCACTGGGAGCATGGAGGCTCAGTGATTCACTTTTATTGTGAACTCTAGTTTTAGGCATAAAACAAAAATAATTTCACCGAATTGGTTTCCGTGATTTTACAGTGAGGAGGCTAAAATGTGAGAAGGCCCCCTAACCTCCAAACCGATCGATGGCCTTCAGTATCCACTTCTTCAGGCGGAACACATGTGTGTAGAAGCCATATTTTCCATCCCTGTCACAGCCTTCACCCCATGAGACGATGCCCATTTGATACCAGCGGTCGTTAAAGGGGCTCTGGGGAAAAAATTCAGGGTTTCCGACAGAGTCAAGTTCAAGGTCATGTTAGGATTATCCTGTCAGGCAACTGTTTGTGAAAGCAGTACCCTTCCCATGCCCACCCTCACCCATGCCCACCCTCACCCTGGAGATACATCCACCAGTTTCTGGCTTACCTTCATGACAAAGGGTCCCCCACTGTCGCCCTCACAGGAATCCCCTCTTTTCTCATCTTCAGGATTATAACCTTGAGGGAGAACAGCAGTAGTCAGGAGCACAGCCTGCACTGCAGCTCTGAGTGTCCATCTGACCTCTTCCGGTCACCCTTGACTCTTCTCATTTCCTCACTGATACAGTCAATCCTTTAGCAAATCATGGCAGCTCCCCTGTCAACAAGCATCCCCAATCCTCCTATCCTGCCATGTCAATATACCCCTGACAACTCCTTTCCCTAATTCTACTTTCTTCCACTAATACTTTGTATCCAAGAAGCAGACTGTCCTTAAAAATACATTATACATATTGGTAACTGAGAATAATGGCCATTGCCTTTACCTGAATCTCATATATATACTCCACAAAATACAGGACAACCACATCTTCACTGAATTAGAACAGCCAAACTTTAATATATTTAACCTCACACACAATACTAAAACATGGAGATGAGGATAGAACAATAAAGATAAAAGAAGCAGTCCGACTGTATTGGGAATCTTGGAAATAACCCCAAATCTACAAAATGAAAAGATGGAAACTAAACAGGTCCATAAAAAGACACTCTAAAATAAACAAAGATTAAGAATATCTCAACTGGAGCCCTCCCTGGTGGCGCAAGGGTTTAAGGCACAGCACCCTAAAGCTGTCCACAGCCACAGCAGCATGAGTTCAGTGCCCAGCCAGTTTGCTGACCCACACGGTGCAGCAGGCCTCGCCTGTCTCACCCGCTGCTCCCCTCAGCAGTGGATTTTATTCTGCCTGTTCTGCTCCCCACTCTATCTCTGATGAATCCTCTCACTGCCCTCCCGACCTTGGTCTGCACCCCAGTTCTGTGTTCATAAATAAATCTTTTTTTAAAAAAAAAGAATACCATAAGCTTTTTATGGAGCTACACAAGTCTACATTAAAGTTTCTGTGTAGGAGCTCCCCTGATGGCACAAGGGTTGATGAGAAGACAGACAATGTCAAAGTTTCTCCCTAAAAGATACTAATTACAAAGAGAAAATTAGAAGTTTACAGTGAGAACCTGGCAGACACCACCTTATCAGGGAGGTCAGTCAATCTCACCAGTTAGGGAACAAATTGGTATCACGTGCCTGTGAGGGGCCCACAGAGTAGGGAGAGCATCACTTAGTCTGAACCTGATGTCGAAGAACCTCAAACAAAGACAAACCCACAGTGAGGGCCCACCTGTACCCTTCAGATGTCAGGGACACAGGGATGATGACTAAGCATAGCATGTGGACCTGGGGGCCCCTGGATAAGTAACCTTATTTCCCTTATGAAAATGAGCAGTGAGGACGGCAACAGGGAAAGACAGCTGGGATAACGGTAGGCTTCACCTTCTCCTCATTTAGTTACTCCACTGGGCTAGGTCAAGGGATGTCCCTGCCTTTTGGGAAATACTAAGATTATGGATGAAAGGCTCCACAGGATTTACTCTCAGTGTGTATACAAGCAGGGAGTCTGCATGGGGGGGTCGCAGAATTCCCTCTCATGTGCTGGCAATTGTTCTGTGAGTCTGAAACTACACCGTTTTAGAAATGATTTTTTAGTGAAGTAGCATCAATGACTCACCTGGCCCATCTCCTCGATTCAATTCCCATCTCACTCAATAGAAGCCCAAATCCTCACGCTGAGGCGCATGCCCGTCTCTGCCTGCCCACCGCGCCTTGTCCTCACTACAGCTGCCTTTCTGTTCACTCTCCGGCCACTCAGGCTTCCCTGCCCCTCCTCACACCCACCACACAGCTCGGCCTCAGGGCCTTTGCACCTGCTGTCTCCTCAGCAGGGAGCACACTCCCCCCAGACGGTTCACTCCTTCCCTTCTTCCCCCTCTGCCCACACACCACCTGGCAGGAGGTGACTTCCCCAGTGTAAGGTCACCTGCCCATTGCCCCTACTCTCCCCCTTCCTCTGTTTCATGCTTCCTCCTAGCTGGGACGGCTGCCCTAGACACCTTCTCTTTCTAGAAGGAAGGTCTCCAAGTCACAGGTATGGTCTGTCGGAGTCTGGCTGCAGGTCCAGGGTACCCGCGGGAGCCCTCAATCAACTCCCGCTGGATGACTGACGCAGCCGGGGCCTACCCTCCACCTGGTCTCCTTTGGCCACCTGAGTCCCCCGCCCCCCACCAGTGCCTCGCGCCTAGCCTGCTGCTACTCAGACCCCATCTAACCCTCACAGGACATCATGGGATAGAGGCTTTCAGCTCCATTTTGGGGGAAGAAACGGCACCTCCAAGAGGTTAACCCTCGGCCTACAGTCCCAGGGCCGGGGGCCAGGGCCCACCCGCCTCAATCCCCTCAACCCCGAGCCCCTGGGCCTCCCCTGCTGCCTTCCCCACCCCCGCCATGCCCCCCGGCGGCCATCCGGGACTTGCCAGCACAGAACATGTTGTCAGTGATGCGGATCCGGGTGGAGGCCTTGCAGATCTGCCGGTCCACGATGGGCAGGTTGACCAGCTGCAGGACTTTGGGCTGCAGCTCCCCGGGGTGCACCGTCCAGATCTCCTTCAGGTTGCCCCAGCCCGTCACCCGCCCTTTGTATCCAGCCTGGAGCAGTCTTCGGGGAAAGAAGGTTCTGGTGAGAATCACCCTCGGGAGTCTCCCTTCCGTGAATCTAAAACCCCATGCAGAGAGGACTTCGGGGTGTGGGAGGCCAAGGCCTGGCCCCGGGTGGGACCTCGGCCGGGCTGTCCAGGCTCATCAGGCCCAGAACCCCACCTGGATGCCGTCTCCTTGTCCGGCAGGCACACGGGGTGGATGTAGTCACTGAAGGTGATGGGCTTCTTGAGCTTCAGCAGCGCGATGTCCCGGTCCAGGTTCTCCCTCCAGTTGTACCGCGGGTGGATGATGATCCGCTCCAGCATGGAGATCTTTTCAATGCCTCGCTCGTACCTGAGCAGACCCCAGCAGAGAAGCAGGGCCGCTCCAGGCCCACCCGGGAAACCACCCGCCGCGGGGGTCTGGGGTCAGGGTGACGTAACCAGTGGGTCACGTGCGCCGACAGGGCTGACCCCTGCTTCCAGGGCTGGACTTGCACAGGGCTTTGGAATCAAGCGCCCAGGCGGGTGGGGGAGGGGCGCCAGCTGCAGGCTGGGAGCAACAGCCTCCACTCAGAGGTTACACCTGGGCGGAGCGGACAGAGCCAGGCGCCCCTGGGTCAGGACAAGGCCAAACAGGCCTCTCAGCAGCAACTGCTGTGTTTTCTACTGCGGGAGAAGTACAGACAAACCCCAGGTGTCTGGAGCCATAAGAGGCCCTGTGGGCACCCCAGGGACGCAGGCCCCTGCCAGACACCCATGGGCCCCAGTTTTATACCTGGTGCGGGAGTGTTTGCCAGTGCGCACCAGAAGATCATCTGCGGTGAAGTTCTTGTCCCAGGGAGGGTACAGGAGGCAGTGGGCAGCCGTGAGGATCCAGCGGTCACTGATGAGGCTGGCCCCGCACAGCAGCTCCTGGGGGCTCTTCCGGAAAAGCATCACCTGCCTGGGGTGGGGAGCAGAAGCATTAGGAGCCCGGGGACCAGCCTTCCATCTGGTCCAGAAGTAGAGAGTCTCAGGGCTAGCAACAAACGACAGCGCTCTGCCTGGCCCAGCCCCGGTTTGACCTGGCCGCGCTCAGGAACGGGCGTTCAAGTGACTTGGAGAGACCGACTCCTGCTTTTAGCACCCACAAGCCCCATCCCCTTCCTGCCGGCTGCTTGCATTCAGGAGTTTGCACAACTTAGCACAACTCCAGGATCAGACGAACTGGATCCAATCCTGCTGCGCAACCCACAGCCGTGTCATGTAGGTAAGTCACTTAAGCTGCCGGAGCTTCAGCAATGCCATCCACACGTGAGAAGTAATAATCCCAATCTCATACGGTCATGTGGGGATTCCCGGGGGGTACGGGAGCCCAGGGTGCAGCGCGCACCCCCACGCACCAGGGCGCGACACCAATCTCTGCGTCCAAGCCATGCACGATGCGTCCTTGAACGTAAGACTGGAGAAGCTCCGATTCCGTTTGGTCCTCCACCGACTTCTTCTCAAACAGAGGCCGCAGCCCACAGTCTGCCGAGGAGGCGGAACATGAGCCCAGTGCAGCGGGGCCCCCTCACCACCCCTGGCTCCAGGGGCCCCTAGGGCACCCGCTGCCTCACCTGCCTCCCCACTGCCGAAGGTCTTCTCATTGAAGAAGGGCTGAAACTCCTCCAGGGTGGTGCGTCCCTCTATGGCTGTTTCCAAGTTCAAGTCCAGCGTATCTTCCGTCTCCTCCTCCAAGGGCTCCTCTGCGGGGAGCCAAGCACAGGCGGGAGCTGGGCTGGGCCACCCCACCCAGGGCCGCCCCCAGCCCCTGTGGACCTTGGAAGCCATTTCTCGTAAAGAGCACAGCACACCAGTGTTATTATTGAAGGAAAGCTCCCAGCCTCAGTTTACTGCGCTGTAAGATGGGATAACACCTGCCCTGCCTGGCTCATGGGAGGGTGCATGAGCACACGGGCTAAGCCAGAGATCAGCCGCCCCCACGCCCAGCCCCGCCCTCTCACCACAGTAGTTGAGGTCACAGTACTCGAAGTCGCCAGTCGACCCGGCCACGTAGCACCACGCGCCCTCCTGGTCCCTGTCTGGGTTGCGGCAGAAGTTCTCCTCCAGCGGCACATCTGGGCTGAAGTCTAGGTCCTTGCTCAGGGCCTTGGCCTGGGAGCTGGCCCAGGGCAGGCAGGGGCTCCCCTTGGCAGTCACTGCCAGGTGACCCTTGTAGTGCCAGCCGCGCTGAGGCACACACTGCGTCGATGGAGGTGGCTGGTTCACTGGGGGGCCTCTGGTGCGTGGGGTGACCTCCACAGTGACGCCCCCCTGGCCTGGTGGGTGAGGAGGCCGTGAGCAGAGTGGGCGGCACCGAAGGAGGGGCCGGGGTGGAGGGGTCGTCCCTGCCTGGCTGCCTTCCTCCCGTCTGACCCCCAAAACTTCAGTTTACTTTTGCCCATGAAAAGGGGTGACGAAGGCTCTTCTTATGGGATGGCTGAGAGATCTGAACCGAATACACACACGATAGGCCAGACCCGGGGCCAGGTTTCACCTCCTGTATGACAGGACAGGGCGACAGCAGTCTGCTGGTAGAGTGACTGCCGGGTATTTAAAGGATATTTTGGTTTTTATGGGGCGTGGCAGGATGGTAGCTGAGGATGTCTACGCTAACAGTAGGGGGGAGCCCGGCAATACAGCCGTGGAGGGGAAGGGCCTGGCAGATGCTGACCCGTGTGGTGACGACTGGTAACTTGCTCTAACACCAGCCCCAGGGTGAAGCGTTAGACGCCACAGGCGCATGAAGGAGAAAGAAGCAGCTGCTGTTTGGCAGGCTGGGGATGCCACGGGCCCTTCACCCCTGCCTGGATCCACATCCTTTGCGGAGGAAGGGTTGGCTTCTCCACCTGCTGACTTTGGCCTTGATGGCGCTCAAGGGGATTGGCAGAGCCGGCTGCCTGCTTGCAGCCGAGGCCTCAAGGCACGCTGTGTCTCGCTCAGTGTCCTGCTGCAGCAGCTGCCTTGCAGCCAGCACCCCCGTGGGCCCCCTCGAGGCCCCAAGCCCTCCTGGGCCCATGGACTGAAACAGCCACCAGCCAAGCCCAGCCTACATTAGGGGTCTCCCACAGGCGCATGTGCAGGTGCAGCTGAGCCCTGCCCAGTCGACCCTCAGACACACAAGAAAGGAGTGCCAGTTGGTGCCCTGAGCTGACCCGTCACGGGAAGTAATAACCCAGAATCGTGTGGGGCTGGACAGCAGGATGCAGCTTCCGGGGCGCTCAGCAAAGTTCTCAGGGGCCCAGAGGGTTAGTGGGCTTCCTGGAGGGAGGCCTGCATGGGGCAGAAAGGGCCGTTTATTGCCCCCCCCCGAGCGTTCCTGGTGGCTCCCCCACCACCGGGAGACCACCAGGAGGAGCGTGCCTGCAGCTCCCTGTGGCCGGCTCATCTCACTGGCAAACAAGCACGCAGGTGTTGCGAATGACCACGCCCTACCGGAACAGGCCCAGTCCCCGCTCGTCCTGGCTGCCAGGCCCCGTGAAGACCCCTGGCCGTGGCCGCGGGCCCTCTAGCAGCTGCTCACCACACACGGGCACGCTGCATTCCTCCCTCCGCACGGTGGGGTCCGTGGTATAGCACCAGGGCCCAGTGGGGCTGTTGTCTGGGTTGCGGCAGAAGTTCTCCCTCAGGTCAGCCCCCGGGTGGGTGGTGGAGTTGATTCTGGAATAGGAAAGTGCTCCTCAGGGGGCTGCCCCGCCCCCACCCAGCGTCTCCTGGTCCCCTCATCTCAACCCTGCAACAGAGGGTCGGGCCCTCCACTCACTCAGGCTTGTGTGGGTAGCGACTCTTCCACAGCTGGCACTCGATGCCTGAGCGGGTGAAGCTCACGTTCCCCTGGTAGTTAGCGCCCAGGCCTTCTGCACAGTTACCTGTGGAGACCCCAGCCCAAGTCTTCTATCCTGAAGATTTGTCCCTTCTGAAGTCTAGCAGAGCCCTGGCCTCCCCTCCCCTCCAAGCTGTGTTTGGGCCACCACCCTTAGCCTGCAGTTACTGAGCATCTCATCTGCTCCAGGAGTTCTAGTCCTTAAAGCAGTCACCAAATAATCACTGAGTGTACCAAGCGAGAGGCGGAGCAAGACCATCACAGTCAAAACAAATCCTCCTGACTGGCAGGATGGAAAAGTGAACAAGATGTCTCCAACCTTATCGCCCTATGCTGTCATCTTAACGCCTCATGCCTCAGGACCTTTGCACATGCTGTTTCCTTTGCCTAAAATACTCTCCTGCTGCTCACCAGCACATCCCACAAACCCAGGTAAAACTCTGCCTCTTTGATGGTGTGGATGAACGAAACAGTCCTTCTGTGGTTTTGTGGTACCTTAAACAGAACTTTCTAGCAGCCACTTTGATGTTTTGTATTTTTTGTTTTTCTATGAGATTGTGAGCTCCCTGATCTTGAAATCCCTAGCACTCAGCACTATGCTTGGCACATCGCAGGGGGTTGATAAAATATCTGTTGAGTGAGTTATTTAACAAGTAAAAGAGTGTCTGATATCGAGGTCCCTTTGTTGAACTGAGGTGTAGAAGAGGGAGAAGGGTGTAGGATGAGGCTCCTTGGAGGCTCGGTGAAGGTGGTGGCATAGAGAGCTTCCGGCACAGGGTGGTGGTCGCTCAGGGGGAGATGACAGTGTAAGCAAGGCCAGGAGGGGGAAAGAAACATCTCGGGGAGTTCAGAGAGGAGCTCGCTGTCAGAGAAGCCCGGGTTCTGGCTTCGCGGCTGGTGCGACGGGAGGGGAGACCAGGCCACGGCCTGCTGAGTTCATCGGGCTTATTGCCTGGGCAGTGGGGAACCCTCTGTGCTTTTGGAAAACAAGTGTGACACCATCGGTCTGCCCTGGGGACAGAGGGAAGGCCGCTGGCTTGGGCAGAGACTTGGCTAAGAAGCCCTCGCCGGGAAGTCACTGCCACACGCTCATTCGCTTGTTCCTCCAACAAGAATCACCTTACTGACAGCCAGCCGCCCAGCAGAAAGACACGTACTCACTGCCAGGAGCAGAAGCTGAGGTCTCCACCGCTGCACCGGGACCCCTAACCCTCCCTTCCCGGGCTCCCCCACATCCTTCCTCCCTCACCCCACACCAGCACCTCACCTGCCATACATTCGTCATGCTTTTCCCGAGGTTTTCTCACCGGCTCACAAACTGGAAAAGCCCCAGACACACCATTGGGATAAGAGGAACGGGATGGGCTTGGGCAAACGGTGGGTGGGACAAAGGTGGAGACAGGTGGAGACACAGGAAGGAGGAGGCGTGGATGGGCGACTGGGTGGACCAGAGGGTCCCTGGACGCATGGTTCTCCACGGGGTTCCCAGGATGCCTCCCCGGAGCAGACCCTTCCCGTGCTCACCTGTGTACTTGCTCCAGAACACATCCTGAAAAACAAGGGCTGAGCGTGAGACCGGCCGGGCGCCATTTTGTTCTGTTTTCCAGTAAACTTCAAGCCTTACGCCTCCTTCTTCCCCTCACTGGCACACAGGGACAGGTTCCGGGGTGGGGGTGGGGGGTTGTGGCCGTTTCCTAGTTTTGTTTCCAAAAGCCGAGGCCATTTGGGAGAGGACTATTTGAGGATACGGGAGTTCCCTCCCTTGCTCCCAAGACCGAAAGGGATTTCCCTGGGTGTGGTAGCCTGCAGAAGAGGGGACATGGAATCCTGGGGATGGGGCTCAGGGGGAGCCTCAGGCAAGGGAAGAGGGGTCAGCTAGAACCCTGCACCCCCAAGGAAGCACTGAGAGGCCAGTGGGCCAGGGAGCCACGACAGCTGCTGTGGGAAGACTGCGGATGCCTCCTGGCGCCTGGCCTGGCCTGAACCTGGGGCCTCAACACAGCCCAGGCGCCGGGGTGGTGTGTCCTGCCGCCGCGTGAGATGGGTCCCCGAGTTGAAATTAAGTCAACAACAGTTGAACAGCTGTGATGGCCCCGGCCCTTGCTGACAGCCGAGAGTCAGGTCCACCCTCAGCCCTGGAGTGGGGCTCACAGCCGAGCCTCACCGTGGCGGTGGTGGACTCCAGGGCCTCAAAGGCCTCCTCCTTGTTGCACAGCTCCTCCAGGCACTCCCGCTCCAGGTTGCCCTGACGCAACTCCTCCACGAAGACGGTGTTGGCGCGTCGGACCCGCTGCAGCAGCGACAGGGCTTGCTGAGGGGCCAGGAACACTGTAATGGGAGGGGCAGGGACAGTGGCCTCAGGGAGCCAGGCTGTCTGGGCCTCCATGGGGGCCGGAAGGAAGCTGGCTTTCAAAAGGGACTGGCCGGGCTGGCAGCAGCACCCGAAAGGCTGCAGGCAGTAACCCGCTGGCTCCCCTCTGCTCCTGGGTCAACTCCAGCCCACTGCACATCGCATAAGAGAAGCAGTGACTGTCCATCCAGCCCTGTACACCCGGCTTCTTCCCTCAGTGGTCATGTAGGGCCGTGGTCTCTGGCGAGAGTCCAGCCCCTGGTGCCCTAGCGCAGTCCACTAGCCGGCCCCAATTTCGGAGCCCCCCCTTACCATGCTGGCCTTGCACAAGGCAAGACAGGGTGGCCAGGGCCAGGCAGCCGGGTAGCCACAGGCTGCGGACGTGCACCATAGTGTGTCAGCTCTGGGAACTCTGAGGACTCGTCCTGATGCCTCTAAGTTAATATTGAACGAATATGAAGAAATCAGTGGAGAAGGAGCGGTCATTGGGTCAGGGCCGTCGGGGACAAGTGGATAGATAGTCCACCCCCGCCATCCGGGAGGACGGGTCCTCCTGGGACCAGGGAGGGACAGTCGGGGAGGAAGTCACAGAGGAAAGGCCCGTGTAAGCACCTTCCCCAGGGGCCTCCCTGGTGGCGTGGGGGTTAATGACAGCGTTGTCAAGCTATGATCGGCAGCCCCTGAGACATGAGCTCCATCCCCAGCCCGGGATTGGGGGACCTCTCCTGACCCACCCACTGTTCCCCTCAGCAGTGTATCTCAGTTGATCTACTTTCTGCTTGTTCTGTCTCTGGTGAATCCTTCCACCCCCCGCACCTCTGGCCTGTACTCCAGTCCGTAGATCTAAGTCTCAGGGAAGGAGGGGCCGGGGAATATGTTTATCTATTTTTGTTAAAGATTTATTTATTTTGGCCCTCCCTGGTGGTGCAGCGGGTTAAAGCACAGCGCTAAGAAGCTAAAGCCACTTCTGCACGAGTTCGATCCCTGCCTGCCCCGGAGGTGACCACATGGCGTGGCAGACCTCTCCTGACCCGCCCGCTGCTCCCCTCAGCAGTGTACTTCGTCAGGTGGCCTGTTCTGCTCCCCACTCTGTCTCTGGTGAAGCCTTTCGCTGCCCCTGAGCCTCTGGCCTGTACCCCAGTTCTGTATGCACAAATAAATAAATCTTTAAAAATATATATTTATTTATTTTACACATGCAAGAACTGGGCTGTAGGCCAGCTGGGCTGGTGGGGCCATAAGCGCTGCCTGACACCTCCCAGTTCTAATACAAAGTGTGAGTGAGTGGGGTGGGGGGGCTGCTGTGACCCGTCTGCCCCCTTTGCTCATCCGTGCCATGGGAATAGAGCTTTCTGGTGAAGACAAAGACATCATGAATGTAAAGTCCATGAGATACAGTAGGTGCTCAGCCTACCAGTAGCTATGTGGATGTCAACTAGCAGGGAGGTGGTTGTGGTCCCAATGCACAAAGCAGATTAGAGGCGAGGTGTGGCAGGTGTGGGCAGCCTTTCAGCCACCCGTCACCCCTCGGAGCTCGGAGCTCCAAGTGTGTTTGTGTACTTGCTGCTGGCAGGAGCCAAACCCCGGCCTCTCGGCCTTTGGCCTCTCTCCTCTCCCAGGACCTTCTGCTGGACGCAGAACAGAGGCCACCCCAAACCCCCGGGTCTCCATGGCAGGGCCCTCGCTCTCCTCCACCTGCCTGCCCTGGACCAGGCCTCGGCTGGCCACTGGCCCTACACCCGCCTCTCCCAGCCCTGCTCCCGCCCCTCCCCCACTTCCTATTTGCAGTGTACAAGGTAAATATTAGTCCTGGGTCTAATTAGAACAGAGGGACAAAGAGCAGGAACACAGGGGGCACAGGGTCTTGTCTGGCCATCCTTCGAGGTCTGGGCCGCTGTCATGTGCTGTCTGGGAGCACTGCAGAAGCCTGTGGGGCCTGGGGAGAGGGTAGACAGGACTGGTGCCAGGTCCCAGATCAGCTTCGCTCCTATACTTGTGTTTGTGTTTATTATGTATATGTATTGGATCTATCCCTATTTTCCTTTCTATATGTATTTAAATTGAGTTTTAGTTTAGGTACTTTATTTTTTGAAGAGTTAAAAAAAATTTATGCGCACAAGAATCAGTACACAGGTCGGAGGTGTGGGAAGATTCACTAGAGACAGAGTGGGGAGCAGAACAGACGAATCTACTGAAATACACTGCTGAGTGGAGCAGGAGGCGAGACAGGAGAGAGAGAGGTCTGCTGCACCGCGTGGGTCAGCTCCCTGGCTGGGGATCGAACTCATGCTGGGGCTGTGGAGAGCTTCATACTGCTGCGCTTTAACCCGCTGTGCCACCAGGGCCTAGTTTAGGTATCTTAATTTCAGTCCCTGGGTTTGCTATCTGTGGCATCAGCATTGTGACTATAGTCACCTCACAAGGTGGGACTTACATGGGTCCTCTCAGGTTCGGGCCTGAGGATGTTTGTGGGGTGTCCGTGGGTCTCCCCAGCATCCCCACTCCCTGCACAGCTCTTTGTCAAGCAATGAGTAAGTCCCCCAGGGCACCTAACACTGGGTCAACATTGCCAAGAGGTCACCTGAGTTGAAATGACCTGCCTGACAAGAACCTTTGCAGGTTCCAAGAAACAGGGCTGGCTGACTCCAAACTACCGACAGTGGCTGTTTTTCAAGTTCTGTGTAGTGTGGCCTTTTCACCACTGATGACCTGTTTACCGCCATCCTCCCTCAACTTAGACCTTTCCAGAATGCTTGCCTTTGCTGGCTTGGGCCAGTGGTAAAGCAGGAGCCACGGGGCTGCTCAGGGCATCACGCCCCAGTGCCGGATGCCAGTAAACATGGCACATTTCGGGCCTGGCTCTGCCCACTGCCCCTTGCGTGGCCTCAGCCAGTTTCCTGTCTGCCCTCACCCTTACTTTCCTCTTCTGTGAAGCGGGGACCACGGCACCTATTTTGCAGGACAGATGAAGGTTGGAACGAGAACTCACGTTCTCGTTTCCTCCCGATGGCACTAAGCAACCAGTGACGTCCGCTCATTTCCCCCCTTGACAGCAAGTCACTGCTGCCCACCTCTCAGTGGGAACACTGTCCTCGGCTCCTGCAGACTGCTCTGTTTTGGCTGCTGAGACTCCCCGAGCCTCCCTCCTCAGTGGAGAGCCTCCTCCCCACCCCACAGCTTTTCGCCTATTTCCAACTGCTGACTTGGCATGTCACACAGAGCCACTTCCAGCTCAGCCCAAACCCAAATCGGTGTTTCGCTCCCACCCACGTTACGTGGCTTGGTGAGTTGGAAACCAGGAGTACTGTCTACCTCACCACATGGGGCTGACAGCACAGAGCGGATGCGCGACGTCAGGAAGTGCTTGACGAATACCTGTTGGGTGAAATTTCTCTGCACACTGCTGCTCCCTGCTCCGAACTGATTCACCCAAAGCTGCACCTGCCAATGCACTGTCCGCTGGGCTCCTCAGACCACGGGCTCTTCCCCCTGCTCAAGACCCTTCCAAGCGCTCAAGTCCTGGGGATACAGCCTGACTCCTGAAGGCCTGTGCTGTGTAGCCCTGACCCTCTCCCCGAGGCCCGCAAGCGTGCCGGGGCGCACCAGGTTCTCACTACGGGGCTCCCCTTGCCTTGTCTGTCAAGTCAGCAGAAACGAGGGGCAGTGGAGTGTGGAGGCTGCAGGGGTCTGCAGCTCGGCTCAGCCACCTAGTAGCGCTGTCACCTCGGCAGGATACAGTTTTGTGCCTCTGTCTCCTCATCTGTACAGTCAGAGTAATGCTACCCACCCCCCAGGGCCGTTGTGAGGCTTATGGAGACTCGCCCACAGGAAGAGCCCAGTGCTTATTACTCCTCGCAGGTGGCTTCCTGGTGGCTCAGGCCGTTACACGCGCGCATTCGTCACGTCCCTGGCACCCAGGCCTCCTCTCCAAAACCTCCCTGGTGCCCTCTCCCCCAGGCAGTGCGCTCAGCGAAGGGCACGGCCTGACTGTTCTGGTCCCAGCTGCATCCCCAGCACCTCGGGCAGTCCCAGCCGAGGGCACAAAACAGGTGAATTTCTCAGCCCTGCACTCAGTGGCGCTGCCTTCGGGCCCAGCACGTGGACGGGCACTGTGCCCAGCCACTGCCAGAGGCTGGTGTGCTTTACCACAGAGTGAAAATCACTTCGCAGCTCTCAGTGGTGTGAAATGCTGCCAAAATAAGCAGAGGTAAGAGCTGCGAGCTGAGCTTGGGGTCTGATTTGTTCACACTCAAGTGGCTCACTGTGATTGTAGGAAGAGCTTGTTGCTCAAGAGAACTGCTGGCAATGGCCATCCTCACACTAACAGACGCAGGGCAGTAGCTGGCGGTCCTCTAACTCCTGGGCTGGGCGGCACCCCGCACTGTAAGAACATGCTCCTGCTGGAGCTTGTAAGGGAGACAGGCCAAGCTCTCCTGGAAGTCAAGGTTTCAAATCTGGGTCTTCCTGGTGCTTACAGGGTTAAGCCTCAGCGCTCTCTCCTTGAAGGTCTGAGTGATACTGATGATCCTGGCCAGGGGGCTGACCCACGTGGCGGGCAACCTCCCCTGCTGCGCCCCTCAGTCTGTTCTGCTCCCCACTCTGTCTCTGGCGAATCCTCTCACCTCCCACCCCTGACCTACACCTCAGTTCTATGCAAAAATAAACAAAATCTCTTAAAACAAGAAAACCTCAACCTCAGAGAAGGCTGACTGACCCTTAGTCTTGGGAACACCGCGGTGCTCCCGAAGCGGGAAGGGTGTCCTTTGCCCGCGCCTCAGGATGGACTCCCGTCTCGGTAACGCAGACAGAAAAAGGCAAAGACTCAGGAGCTGGAAAGTATCTGTCTTTACACAGAGTGGCCCTGGGGAAGGAGCGTCAGGTGCCCGTCTCCACCTCCACCACCTCCGCCCAGGTGCTGAAGCCCCTGTCCTTCTGGAGAAGCACCACACTGCGGGGGGCGCCCGGCTCCTCCGGCACCACGAAGCACCTGCCCTGGCTCTCGGAGATGGCGACCTCGAAGACGTCCTGCACCGGGGAGCCGGCCTGCTCACTGCCCACGTCCAGCAGTTCTGGCTCGGTCTGCAAGAGCACCACAGTGGGCTCGGGAGGAGGCGGCGCGTGGGAGGGGCCGGAGGGCGCCCCGGGCTGGTGACGGAGCTGGTGCCGCTTGAGGCTCTGGGGGAGGCTGTAGCCCATGCCGCAGGTGGGGCAGCGATAGGGCTTGTCCGCCAGGTGGGATTTGAGGTGGCGCCTCAGCTTGGTGGCCAGCGTGTAAGCGCGGTCACACTGGGGGCACGGGAAGGGCCTCTCCCCCGAGTGCAGGCGCTCGTGCGCACGCAGGGTGTGTGGGTCTCGGAGGGCCTTCCCACACACCGGGCACAAGTGGGCCTCCCCGGTGTGGGAGATGAGGTGGCGCCGCAGCTCAGGCAGCTGGGGGAAGGCGTCAGCACAGTGCGGGCAGCGGTACGGACGCTCCCCCGTGTGCAGCCGCAAATGCCCCCGCAGATTGCCCCGCTGGCGGAACGCCCGGCCGCAGTGTGGGCACAGGAAGGGCTTCTCCCCTGTGTGCAGCCGCATGTGGTTCCGCAGGGAGCCCTGGTTGGCCAGGGGACGGCCACACACGGGGCACGGGCACAGGGCGGGGGCGGCAGGCAGCTGGTGGGTCTTCCGATGCAGCCGCAGGGAAGGCCGGCGGGCGAAGGCCTTGCCACACTGGTCACAAGCAAAAGGCCGGGCACCTGAATGAACCACCTGGTGCTCTCTGAGGTCCCGCCGGGTGCCATAGGCCTTGTCACACTGTGGGCAGGGGAAGGGCCGCACCCCACGGTGGCCCAGCATGTGGGCTTTGAAGCTCTCCTCTGAGCTATAGCTCTTGCCACACTCGGTGCAAAGGAAGGGCTTGTGGCCCGTGTGCACGAAGGCGTGCTTCTTCAGGTGGCACAGCTGCAGGAAGGCTTTGCCACACTCCCCACACTGGTACCGGCGCCCCTGTTTTGGGGAGTTCTCCGTCAGGCCTGCAGCGTTCTGCAAGCATGCAGGGAAGCTGGGGTGCTGGTGTTCATCAGCCTGCAGGGCCTCGGGCTCTGAGGTCTTTGTTCCGGGGGGGCACTGATCATCGGACCTACTCGGCCTCTTAGTCAGGTAAGGGGGCTCCGTGTCCCTGGCAGAAGATGAGGAACTGGCCTCAGGGCATTCTGGGCCTGGCTGCTCTGAGGGAGCCGGGCTGCTTTGAGGGTCAGGTGGCACCTGTGTCTCGGGTCGGTCCTCCTCATCCGTGCTGTCATCCTCAGGCAATGAGACAAGGGAAGGCAGGTCCTGGGAAGGCAGGTCCTGGGTCTGGGTCTTACGTTCAGGGCTGACTACGCGCTCTGCCTGGGACCTGGGGGTAGACTCGTGACCAGGCTCTGCAAAACAAGAGCAGGACCCAGGTAAGGAGAGCTTGTCGCTGGTGGGGATGGTTGTGTCACCAGGAAATTACAGGAAGGCCACTTCTCTTCGGGCCCTGGATTCAATGCAGCAACAACGCGAATCTCTTCCCTGGAGCCTGCACCACACCATCTGTTTAGCCTGCTGGGGAAGTACTCCTGGGAACCACAGTGCCCAGACTGGGCTGATCCCTAGATTAAGGCTGCCCCAGAGTTCTCTTGGGAGACAAGCACTGAGGATGACTTGACACCAACACCTCCCCCCACCTTAGCTCATCTGTAGGATGAGGAACCCCACTCCCGCACCAGGGAGAATAACCAGACACTGGAAACCTAGAACACAGCTAACTCTTCATCAACAAGACCTGTTAGTCCAAGAGACATTCTCAGAATGGTAAGTTACAAATTTCTCTCACAGGAAGGAACATTTCAACAGTTGTAAATTTCAAATAACCCTTCAACAGAAAAGAATGAAGGACAGTTTATGTTCACCCTAAACCATTACAGTCATGACCTTCAGTCAGCCTAACCAACTCCCCACAGCCCAGACCGAAAGATCCACCTTGCACCAGACTTCTAACTGCCAGCATCTGCCCTCCCCCAACCCCCTCTCAGAAAAGCTATTAAGACAGGAACGCTCAAGATTTGCCCTGGAAGTGGAAGGGGTAAGTGAGGAGGGGTAAGCCGATGGTGGGAGCTCTTTTGCCAGGCTGCTGAGCCAATCTCAGAGAGGAATCAGGATGCACAACAACCCCCTAGATGTAGGGCCAACATTTTCATCTGGAACCTGGACCCAGAGATTGATGAGAACCTATCTTATGAAAATTTCAGTGTTTCTGGGGCCATCTGACAAATCCCACAGATTATGAGGGACCCTGAGATAGGCGACTCCAAAGACTATGCCTTTTATTAACTGCTTCGTTGCCACTTCAGAGGCAGCACCTGAGGCCGTGAATGGGCAGCTTCTCCGTAACTGCCTAGCGTTGTGTGAGCGCCACGCCTCAGCGCAGAGCGACATCTGGCAGCACAGAACCTATTCTCTGTTGCCATCTTCAGCTACCTCCAGGTGCTCCTCCTGCACCTCTGCCCCAATCCTGTGGTGTCACCACCGGGATCTGGGCTTCCCCCACCAGGCCTGCCTCCTCCTGCAACTTCCACTCCCAGTGCTGCCTGCTGGAGCCCTTACACTTGGGACTCCCCCAGCCAAGCCCCTACCACCTATGCCATCTGGGGTTGGAGGGCATGGACCCCTATCAGGGGTTGGACACCCTGGACATGGACATTCACATCCTCACCCCAATGAAATGCCCCATCCAGGAATGGTTTAGCTGCAGCGTTGTTAAAAAGAAAAAAGGACTGCTTCTGTCTCATCAACAAGCTGTTTGGGTGCCAACTTGGGAAGCGGCATTTATGACACACACCTGTGCAAGGCTCGGCTGCGTCCGCCCCAGGAGAGGCCGCTTCCTGTTGTGCAGCCGACTGTGCAGCCGACTCCACACCCGTCACCACAGCCATGGCTGCCTCCTCCTCTAGCTTAGGCTGGATGGGGCTCAGGGCTGCAGAGGGGGACCCAGGCCGCAGAAGCAGCTCAAAGCCTGGCAGCACGGCCAAGCACACCTGCAGGTGTAGTCTTCCACTGATCCGCACAGGAGCCACGTTCCCCTCTTCCTCCAGCCTGCCCCGCTGCACCAAACTGCAAGACAGAGAAAGAGTCAACTCTCCACTGTCCCAGCGCCTTTCTGAAAACCCCGGCACTCTTGAGTTCTAAAAGACCCCATGCCTTTGGCACAATTACTGCAAAAGGTCTGGGTGGGGATTACACTCAGCTTCCAGCCCAGGTCACAACAGAAAGCCTCAAAGGAGCACTGCCACTTCATACTCTCCTGTAACTCACCTGATCCAGCCTGAACTCTGCTCACATGCACACACGTCTCTCCACTGGCCTAGTGATGCCGCCTGAAATAAACCAAAACAAGTCGTTCTCCCACGTGTCTGAGGGGGCAAGGATGGAGGAAAACAAACAGGAGATGAGCCTTCTCCAGGGACAGCTTGTCTGGTGCTCCCTCTAGAGGGCTGTGCTGTTTGATTTTTCATTCAGTAAGGAGCAATGACTGTCCCCTTCTCTCCCTCAGGGAACCTGATCCCGTGGATTCTGAATCCCCAAACCTTTCATCTCTCTTGACACTATGCTGATCCAGCTTTTAATAGCTTTTAGCATCTCAATTCCTAACGACTGCAAGTGAGGGGAAGAGAGATCGGAAAGAAAGGGCAAAGCCATCGCCTAGCTCTTGAAAGACCCTGCTTTTTCTAACAAATTGAAGTGATATACGGAATGTTTCCAGTTTTCAGCCACGGAGCGGAGACAAGGGCCTCAATACCTCCTCCCGCCGTCTGCTCACTCCCTCGCCCTCGTCTTCCAGCGGCCCCCAGAGCAGTCCCGGCTGCAAGGGCTCCCCGACACACCAGACCCCCAAGCGCCGTTTCTTCGCGAGAGAGGGACCAAGAGCCAAGCCCCGGGGAAGGCTCTTGAGAGCGAGGACAGCCCGGGGCGGCCCTGGGGGGAAGTCTTCGAGGTTCTGCGCTCCGCCATCTCCGGAAGGGCTCCATCCTGAGTCCTGTCCCTGGAGAGGGTCGGGGGCTGCGGGAGACAGGAAGCCAGTGAGCGCTGTCCAAGAGGTCGCAGGGCGAGAAAAGGTACGGGAGGAAATCACGGGTCCCACGAGGCCTCGCGAGTCTAAGGGCTCTCACGGTGTCCCTGAGAGGTTCTCAGGGGGTTCGAGGGCATTTATGAAGCCCCCGGGGATTCTGAGGGCACTGGGAGGACTCCTGGCTCCGAAGGGTCCAGGGCTAAGTTTGTAACAGAGTGGACCGCAGAACCTAATTAGAGCAGGCAGGTTTGGGGGTTCAGCGGTGCCCCTCTCTCCCTGCCCTGTAACAAGTAGACCAGGAGCTATATCATCCAGGGACAAGGATCCGAGACAACGCAGGTTACTCACCGAACTGCTGTCTCCCTCCCTGCAAGAACCGGTCCTCCACCTCCTCCATCCCGGGTCAGATGGCCTCCCTCCGCCGGAAGTGAGCATTGCCTTCTCAGCTCCTCCCGGAAACAGTTATTAACTTTCAAATTTCCTCTCAGGGAAGAATCCTCTTAGTCAGACTTCATTGAGGCACAGAACCGGGAGTTTGGGAGTATTGGGAAGACAAAACTCTATCTGGGAACAATCAGAATCTAGGATTCCGGAGGTCAGTTAGAGATTCGAATAGCCGGGAAAGCGGAACTAATAGTTCCAGCTAATTCCATCGGTAGAACTTCGAGTCGGACATTTTTTCTTGCCTTCCTGCAGCCGGGTACTAAGGCAGGGCACATGAGGGAATAGGGCGGGGCTCCTGGGAAGGCCAAGTTTGAAAGGGGCAGCGTCCCGGAAGTGGGTTGGAGGTGTGGCGGAAGTGGTTATGGAGGGAAGAAACTGGGAGGGGGCGGTTCCCGTTCCTCCGCGGAGCCGGATGTTAGCTGAGCTTTGACAGGCGTGGCAAAGGGAGCGGTGCCCGACCTCGGTGAGCTGCTGGGCGCGGGGTCTCCCGTGGAGAGGGGGGGTGGGGGAGGGCAGGGGGCAGGGAAAGGACTGGGCTGGTCTTCTAAAGGGATGGGGTCCGGGTGGGGAGGACCTGCGCACATCCGAGGAAGGAGCTGGCTTGGGGTGTCGCAGAGGAGCCTGCTCTTCCTTCTGTGGGGATATTGCCCAGTTCCCGGGTCTGCAGTGAGGGGACTGCTTCTGCTTCGGGGCATTACTCCTACCTTCCCCAGAGCAGAACCCAGGTCATATCTCTGTCATCAAGCAGCCCCTTGGAAAGGAGAAGTATCTGGCATAGCGCTAAGAACAAACAATTTGGTGGAAGTGTTTTTCTACCCTGCTACATATTAGGCCCCGTTTTCATCTCAGTTTCTTAGTCTGTGAAATGGAATAATTCTATCCAATCTGGGTTTTGTAAACCGTGAAACTCTATGCAAATGTGATTGTGGTTGAAAGCTTTGCAGTAATCTTGTGGGATTTGCCTTTTAGGATCCCACTTCCGGAAACTATGCTTTCAAATTGCTTCCTGAGTTCTTTATAGGAGAGGTTACAGAGGCTTTACTTTGACCCTTCGTAGCATTCCTCTGAACCTTGCACTCCTCAGTAATGACAGTCATTTTAAAAAAAAAGTCTTGAGGGATTGACTTTAGATGTGGATTAAAATTTTTACTCAGCCGTGTCATAAGCAACTTGCTTATTTTCTCTCACGCTGCTCAAACTGTAAAATGGGCTTAATAGAGCATGTCTCATTCATGTTGTGGTAAGGTTAAGGCATAATTTGTATTCATCTAATGTTGCTGTGTAGGTCCTTGACAAATGTTGGTTCCCTTCTCCACTCAGAAGATTAAATCATTCATTCATTCAACAAATGACTGACTAGGTGAGGTGTTCTTAAACAGAGGGTCTGTGAACTTTAAAATTGAAAGTTTACACATTTCATTAGAATTTCAGTGAGGTGCAGCATTTCTCAAAGTCAAGATCTCTGTTTAAAATAGTTCTCAAAGATTTTTGAAGGTCGGTGGTTTCCCTTTAGTCTCTGAATGGAGTATTTTGCAATGAGTAGAACAAGGCTTGTAGTGCCTGGAGGCTTAGGCTGCCAGGGTTCTCATTGTCACTCCTATAGGTTAGACTTCCCCTTACTCCACTGTATGGGAGCTAAGTTTCTGAGCTCACTAGGGCGACACCTGTTGGGTTGGAGGATGCTGAGAGGCTGCCTGCAAGGTGGAAATGACTGCAATAGTTACGCTTTAAAAAGGAGGTAATAGAGCAGGAGGAGGCATCAGTTCTGGAAGAACTGACAAAAGAGTTGCTACTGGGAAAGGGAAGAGTTCAAGCTCTGCTCCCTTTTAGGGGTGATCCTCGCTGTCCCTCATATATCCTTTGGCTTTGGTTGCTCCTCCTCTAACCCTGTTGTTCACTTCTGCACAAGTATTTTTTTTAAAGATTTATTTGTATTTATTTACACATACAAGAACTGGGATATAGGCCAGAGCTGGGGGTTGGGGTGGGGGAGAGGATTCACAAAAGACAGAACAGGTTTATTGACTGAAATCCACTGCTGAGGGGAGTAGTGGGGAGACAGGAGAGGTCTCCTGTGCCTTGTGCCAACTCCCTGATGGGAGATCAAACTTATGCTTCAGCTTGTACTGCAGCCACTGGTGATAGCTTGATAGCACGGAGACTTGAATCTCCAGGGAGGCCCCTGCACAAATATTTTTTACAATCCTGGGAGGAGTGTAAGTGAAGAAAACTAGGTCCAGATAGAAAAAGGAACTTGCTCACTGGTTCTGGCAGGACTGTAATTCTGTTATCCAACTACCTAGCCCATGCCAATTTTCACTGCATCAGGCCCCCACTGTGTGCAGAAGGACTTCTCAGAGATGGCTGTGGGTAGGGCTGAAGGGGCATTTGGTGCCTGGGCAGTGACAGAACAGAAGGCAGGGAGAGAAGGCTCCAGCGGAAAGGGTTCCTTCCAACTGCACTCTGTTCCTGTTCCCTGCTGGGGGCCTCTTTGGGGAAACCCTCCTAGGCTCCGGGTGAGTGGGGGGAGGAGCATGTAAATAAATCTTGGGTGGATTTCTCTAGAGGGAGTAGGGAACAGGAATGGGTGAGCAGGCATGGGGTGGGGTGGGGGGGGGGTTTGCCCAGCAGACCTCACTGAGAGAAATGTATTCCCAAATAAAAGAGGGTTGTTTTTCTGTGTCCTTGGGCAAGGACTCAAGTTTTGTTGGTAAGCAGGGGCAGTGAATAAGGGCAGCAGATGAGACCAGAGGAGAGGAAAAGGTAGGGGATTTTTTGTGAGTGACTGGCTGCTTGGCTTTGGCTCAGTTGCTTGAAACAGCCTCTGCCACTGAATCAGTGTGGTTGCCCTGGCAACGGAGTGGTTGTTGCTAGGCACAGGGAGCCAGTTTACCATCCAGAAACTGCTGCTGGGGCATGTGCAAGAGATTGTCACGTTGTGGCAGAGCCCTGAGGTGTTCAGGGTCTGGATCTCAGCTGGCAGCTCTTGCCTCTACTCCGCCCCAGGTCTGGGTCTCGTCTGTGCTCCTTATCTGCCCTGCCAGTTCTCTGACCATATATGTCATTTTTTTGGGCTCTAGGAATGCAGCGGACTTGAGCAGCCTCTTCTCGGGGTTGGACTGAGTAGAGTGTTTGCAACTCCCCTCCTTCACCCAAATAGCTTGTGATAGGAGAGGGGCCTGCTTCGGTCGGGCTAAGGGTAGAAGCTGCTGCCCCTGGCTTGGGAGACCACATCCGTGGGGCCAGACCTCAGACCTGGGCAGGCCTTTTCTCTCCTGTCGTGCTGGTCCCTTTCCCATCCTGTTTCTCAGCACTGCATGGCATGGGCTTCCCTGCACCCATGTGTGCCCCTCAATCTCTAGGGCAGCCTGTTGACTTTCCCACCTTGTAACTAGCACCTGGAACTCCCACAGGTGAGAGGGAGCCCCAGGAGCCTGCAGGTGGTTGGCTGGGACCAGCAGGCAGATTCCATCCCTTGCTTCTGGCTCCTAGTCTGTGGCAAACCCAGCTGGGCCTCTGGCAGCGGCCTTTCCTCCAGGGACCCTGTGGGCCCTGGCTGCCTCCTCTTCTCCAGAACCAGGACCAGGATAGAGTAAGCAAGGGGGCTGTGGGTCGCCTTCTTCAAGACAGGTATGGGAGCATCCCATGCTCCTTAGAGTCTTGAAGCCTCTCTGCCCTGCAACTGCTGGGGCCTGGGGAGTTCTGTGCTCCGTGACCACTGGGGAGACCACTGTGACCACTCTGCCTTCTGCGGCTGGGACTGCATGGCCGACCCAGCTGGGTGGTGGGCACTGGGGACCTGGCACGGCCCTTCCCTATCCAGCCGGAGAACCTAAAGACAGGCTCGAGCTGGACCATCCTTTGCCCCAGCTGCCATTCCTGGCAGTTTGCCAGAAAACTGGAGCCAGGAGAGTTGGAGCTTCATGAAACTCTTGGCAGAGATGAGAATTGTTGAGGAACAGGACGAGGCGGGGCTGGCGGCAGAAGGGCTTATTGTAGAAGTAGAGAGGAAGAAGGTGTCACTGACCTGCCACCCCGACCCTCTCCCAGGTTTCTCTTCAGGCTGTGTGGGGTGAGGCCGTGGGGATCAGGTTTGAAAAATGGACCTGCTCTCAGAACTGCAGGACGATCTGACTCCGGATGACACCAGCCAGGCCCTGAACCAGCTGAAGTTGATTGATGAGAAGAACTGGCCCTCAGATGAAATGCCCGACTTTCCCAAGTCAGGTGGGCACTGCTGGACCTCAGGCAGCCTCAGGCACTTCAAATGGGAGACCCCCTTCCTGCTGAAGGGGCACCCCGAGAGGGTGGGGGCACAAGGGCTAGCAAGCTAGCCCTGGGGTGGGGCTGGGGACACAACCCTACTGGGGGGAGGACCAAGAGCACAATTCTCAGGGTGAGCACAGTGCCAAGCCTCCTGGATCACCTCCCGACCTTGCCCTGTTCCTCAGATGATTCCAAAAGCAGCTCGCCGGAACCCATCACACACCTGAAGTGGGATGACCCTTACTACGACATCGCCCGGCACCAGATCGTGGAGGTGGCAGGTGAGCATGCCAGAACTGCATCTTTTTCTTCCCCTTCTTCACTCCTGGCTTGAGGAGTCCAGCCTCTTAGGTGGAAGGGGAAAGGACTGGGAGCAGGTCTTGCCCTCTCTGTGGTCTGCCAGGCCCCTGGGGCACCTGAGACATGGCCAGTCTTTAAAATGACAGACTTGATTGTGAGGGCCACTTGATCTGTCCCCCTGCAACCACATTCTGACCCACGACCCCATTGTCTTTACGGACTGATGGTATGTGGGAAGAGGGTGCTCAACGGCTTTGAGGTCAGAGAGCCTGGGTTTCAACTTCCAGCTCTGCTCTCTCAACTCATTTCCTCCCCATTGGGTGGCTAAGAGGATTACAGTAGCGATGGGAATGTTGGGCTTAGCTCAGAGTCAGAGCATAGTTGGCCCTGAAAATGGGGTTATTGCCTCCCTTCCCATCGCCTCGATGTCACCAGTGCGTCAGTAACCTGGCAGCAGGGAGATGCCAGTCCCTCCCAGGAAACCCTGCCTCCAAGAAGGTCTGGAACTGCAATGCTGAGAATGGGTGCAGACCCTCCCTCTCCTCCCCTCAGGGAGTCCCCACCCTCCCCTTGGTAGTGCAGTACTAGGGCTCCAGCAGCTGGCGAGGCAGCAAAGATGTTGATGACTGGGTTTCTGCCCTTAGGCACCAACCGCAGGGCAAGGAAACTGGAATGACAGGGTCCTGCGACTTTCCCGAGTGTTTGTCTGAGCCCAGGCAGCTGTGAGGGGGTGGGGGTCATCACTTGGCCTTGCTCTGAGGCATTGGGGTGAGCGAGGGGAACTAGGTAGCACGTGACCCTGCAGTCCTGTGTGGTGGACAGAGGGGTCCCTGGGGGCATCTGGCAACAGGACAACAAGGAGTGAGACTTCTCCTGACTGATTGCACAGAGGGAGGGGCAGGAGTGAGGGTTGCTCCAACATGAAAGGGGTTTCCACAGGCACCCGTGTTTCTGGGGCCTTGGCTGGACCTCTCTCACCCCACAGAAGCAAAGCTTAGAGTTCTTTCCGGTGTGACCCTGACCTGGGCATAGGTGGCTCATGTAGGTTTAGAACCTTCTCTCCTCTTGCCAGAGATGGACCTGATCGGGATGTGGGGGTGTCTCATGTGAAGGAAACTATCCTGACACCCTTCTGGTCCGTGGCCAAGTCTCAGGCCAAGCAGGAAAGGCTGCTCCCTGGCCCTGTGCGTCTCTCAGCTGCAAGGTGTTTCTGTTTCCCCAGGGTGTGATGGGACTGAGGGGGCCCAGCCAGGTAGGTGTCCATCCGAGCTCTGTGCTTGGCCTCTCTGGGCTGTGAATCAGGAATGGTTCTCGGTGGAGGCCAGGTGGGGCCAGCTTAATTGCAGCCCCACCCCGGGAGTCAGGACCTGGCGGTTAGGGAAACCGGAAGGATTTACAGGCAGTTGGACCCGCTGGGGGCTGTCTGGGGTCACATCCAGAGCCCCAGGGGAAAGGAGCTTGAAGTGAGGGCGGCACTTGTCCTGAGGTGCAGAGGGAGCTGTGGGCTGGTCCCGCCTGCATGCTGGCACCGCTTACCTGGGCTGAGGCCTGTTTCAGGGCACCATGCCTGTGCCTCTCTGCTGAGAGGAGTTTGGATTAGCACCGCCAGTCGAGACTATTTGGTAAGACCATGGTGATATTCTAGGAGGCTAGCTGGCATCAGAAACCAGAGAAAGAGCCCATGCTGGGAGGGCAGCTGTCCCCAGCCCCTCGCAGCCTGTTTCCCTTGCTAGCAATGGCCGCTGTGGCCCGCGGCCCGTGGTCCGCCCAGCCCAGGTGGGTTCTCCCCAGTGTTAACGCTGAGCAGTTGACCCTCTGGAAAGAGAAGCAAAGACATTTATTTGTAGATGTGCAATTTCTCCCACAGAAGATTTCAGACTACCAAGGTGATATCAGTGGGCTTGCAGTATTCCTGGCGATTTAACAAATGTGTGAGCCGACTGGAGCATGGGGCCCAGCCCTACCCCCATCTCCTTGGCCAGCAGGTTGTGGGCAGGGCTGCTTCCCAGAATGCCTGCTGTTCCCTGTTAACTCCCGGGCCAGAGTTCCAGAGCTCCTGATCCGTATCTGGGGAATGCACAAGCTTCATTCTCACTCGACTGGTCTTTTGCTGGTGCTTTCCACAGCTGCCACACCTCTTCCTCACTGAGCCCTCGCCTGCCCGTGCTCTGGAGACTCCAGGGCTGCCAGCTCCCCTTTCCTTTCAGTCCCCAGGGAGGGTGGGAGGGGAGCTTGGACCCTGGACACGTGCCTTTTGTAGCAGCAGTCACCGCCTGTTGGCAGATACCCGAACCACCCCAGCATGGCTTCCACTCTGCTCCGCAAGGGGAGGCACCGCCTCGTGGGCCAGAGGCTGCCCTGGCTCATTCCTCCTGCCTGGGAGTCTCGCCAGCAGACTCGCTGGCCCCCCGCTGGCCCCCGCCCCGTCCTGGCTTCATTCCACTGGCACGTACAGGACACTGTTCTGGAGGGAGGCCCATAGCCTGCGCTGAGGACTCAATGAGGGAAACTGCAGCCCGTGAAGTGGTGCTTAAACCTGGTCAGAGTCCTCTTTGGTAGTATGAAATGTTTGGCCCTTTCAACCTAGAAAAAATGTGCATGTGTTTGTCATACTTTCTGTGCACCAGCGTGGTACTGTGGGGGCCTCATGCCCATGGGAGCCCTAGTTTGAAAGCCCAGGTGCCGTAGCCGGCTGAGACAGGGAGCCACGGGCCCCTGCCCTCCTCCCCAACTGCCGCTTCCCTGTCCTGTAAATTCCAGAGCTTGTGAGCTCAGAGCTGCTCTGCCGAGGTCCTTAAGTCTGCTCACAGTAAGGGTGGCGAAGGTGGAGGGACAGGGCTGTGAAGAATCTTTTGGCATTCCACATGCTCCTGCATTTCCCCCACATCCTGGCCACTTCCCCTCCTTCCAAGGGCAGGTGATGCCTGCCCCTCACAGGTTCTGGTAGGAAGCCAGTGGTTCCTACAGAAACTGCAGATTACATACCCTTTGCCCTTGCCCCTTGCCAGTTTGTGCTTCCCGGTGGGGTTGGTGCTGAGTGATGAGAGCAGGCCCCAGAGCCTCACCCAGCCGGCACGGGGGGAACCCAGGCCGCGGGATGTGAAAAAAGGCCTGTGGCACCTGCTTCTTCAAAATAGATTGGCCATTAGCGGGAACAGCACCCTCTGGGACAGACTGAGTCTGTAAGTCCCTGTAAGTCTGTTCTCAGGCAGGCGTGGCCTCCATGTGTACATCTGGGGGCATTCTGTGTGAGGCTTCGGGAAACACGGCCTAACCCATGTCACATACGCAGTGCCGACCTGTGCCTGCCCGGGCTGCCAAGGCTTGTTGCATAACTAAACAGGTGCTGGATTCTGCACTAGCACAGAGACTCGAAGATGGGGAAGACGGGTCTGCACCCCTGAGGTGCGCTCAGCAGGGGAGATGCCAGGCAGAGTCGAGTGTCGGGGCACAGAGGGGTAGTAGCGCACGCTGGCAGCCATGGAAAGGGACCCCTGAGCTGCCTAGGGGGAAGAGGAGAGGGCACAGCTTCTGGAAGGTGATTTTACTGGAGCTGTTAGCCGAGCGGGTTGGGGAGCAGAATTGTCTGTAGAAACCTCTGTTGCCTTGCTGGACAGCATGGCAAGCACCCGTGTTGGAGGTGTGAGTGGCGTCAGCCTGGAGCATTGCACGCTGCTCCAAGGAACAGGATTGGAGCCTGAGAGCATACATGGGATGCAGCGCAGGGAGGGAAGAGGCATCAGGGCAGGAAAGGAGGGTGTTGATGGCTCTCCAGGGCTAGAGGTTAGTTTAGGATAGAACAGACCCTCCAGGCTGTTGAGCCAGACCTCAAACCTTACCCAGGAAATTCTCAGAGGGTCCTGGCTAGGCCCTTTCAAGGGCCAGTAGAGTTCAGGCAGTGTTTTGGGTGGACATGAGAGAGTTGGGAGAGGCTGTGAAATGCTGGACATCATATGGCTGGGGACAAGGTTCTACGTCAGGGCAAATCACTGACCAGGCTGCCCAGGGACTGGGGCTGCCCTGCCCACTCCAAGAACAGAGCCTTGGGAATACGGCAAATTCTTGGGTGAAGCCACCAAGAAGGACCATCAAAATCAGGATTTTGTTAAATGGAAGAGACATTCACCCAGCACGGGGGCTCCCCATGCTCCCCAGTCCTCAGCCGTGACGAGGTGGATTCACCACACTGTGGGTGGTGTATGTGGTCCTTTTATTTGCCCCTGAGGCAGAGAGTATTAGGCAAGTGTATGGTTTGCTTTTGTTGGAGAAGTGTGAAGGTGGAGTTGAAGGGAAGTTCCCAGGACAGGGGGGAGTAGACCAGGCCTTATCCCCACTGAGCTCTGCTTGGGGTCCCTGGTCCACGCTGACCCTCAAAGGGCATCTCCCCTTGAGAGCAGTTCCCTATGTCTCAGGGGCTCCCCCATCTCAGGACAAAGCCACGCCGTCAAAGCCACGCCGTCAGACCATCTGTCAGCCGCTGGTGTTACACAAACAGCCCAAGGATACTCCACCCAGGCGAGCATCTTCTCAGAGCACTGCCACCTCCTCTGAACTCCATGTTCTTTAGAATACCCTTAATGAGGAAGAATATAATTTTCAGAAATGTCCAGAAGTTACTTAGAGGCAAGTACAGTCAGAAGTTTGAATTATAAAACCAGAAGATGTCATCAGTGGTCAAAAATGAGGAGTGACTGTTCAGTAATCGGCTGGTGCTCAGTCTTGCTGAGAAGTGTCCAGAAATTTTTCGAATATATGCCCCTCAGAAGGAGTGCTTCGGGAGTTACCACAGACTTTGAAGATACCAGCGAGATAATAACTAATTTGGTGGGTGTGGCTTTTTTTGTTTTTAGTTCTATTCAAGTGTACAATTCAGTGGTGTTTTGTACGTTCACAAAGTTGTGAGACCACTTCTGTCTAGTCCCAGAATTTCATCTGGACCCGTAGGAAGTCCCATGCCCACAAGCCCTCCGACCCTGTTCTACCCCTGCGTGTTACTTTTCATAGCCCAGCTCAGTTGGCCCTGGGAACAACTGTGCCTCTGTCTTCAAGGACCCGCCCTTGGGTGCAGGTGGCTGCCCTGAGGTCTGGCTGCAGGGCCAGATGGCACGGGACGGCCTCCAGGCCCGGCACCTATCAGCTCCTCAGCCTGCTCTCTGCTTTCCTCTTCTGCTCACTGTGCTCCATCTTTCTCCACACCCAGGAGATGACAAGTATGGACGGAAGATCATTGTGTTCAGTGCCTGCCGAATGCCCCCGAGCCATCAGCTGGACCACAGCAAGCTCCTGGGGTGAGTGCCCAGGGGGACGCTGGGGATCTGCCAGAGCCCCAGAGAGCCTGATGGTGTTCCTCACCTCCCCGCCTGCCTAAGGGAGCCAGGCCACCGCCTCCCTGTCTCCGCGCTTCCCCTGCGGGAACTGTTTCATGAGAAGGAGCACACTGGGTTGCGGTCAGAGCTGATTTTTAGTCCTGCAGCTTCTGTGCGACCTTGGCAAGTGTCTTTACCGTAAGCCTCTTTTTTTCCCCATCCTTCCCTGTAGGAGTGAGACACTAAGGAAATGCCTGGGAAAGTACAATAAACATGATCTAAATGTGATGATATCATCATGCACGGGTGCTGTTGCTGTGGTGCAGCAGATACTCACTTCATGAATAATCAGTGCCGTCTCCCTTGGTGCCCAACTTGGTGCCTGCCTGTGACTTCTGCACCTTTCTGGGTCCTATCAGCCAAGTATACAGTAGAGCAGCGCTGGTTGATCTAGAAATCTCCAGGTCAAAGGGAAAGCAGAAGTTTAAGAGATAAGAGTTGCTCAGTGAGCTTCTGCCAGAACTGGACCCAAGCCATGTGTGGGACCTCCACGGAGGCCCAGCCAAAACCGACTTCCTCTTCCCGCTTCTCAGTGTGCACAGTTCCCATCACGCACTGACCTGTCAAAGCTCTCCCTGACATTGAAAATGTCCACGCTGCCCACATCAGCCTTTGGGTTCCTGAATGGTTGTCGGGAAGAGAGGTCAGGGCCAGGGAGCAGCAGCAGGGAGGGCCGAGGGCTCTAGCCATGTCTGAGTTCTCTCTCTGTGGCCTCCTGAACCCTCTTCCCGCCACTCCTAAGCCAGGCAGGCAGAACCTTGTCTAGGACCATCACGTGGCTCAGCCCAGAATAGGCCAAGGAGCAGGGCCTGAGGGTGCCTGAATCACATGCCCTCCCCTCTGACCAGGCAGGTGACAGATGCTGGAGAGATAATAGCCTGAGTGGGAGGAAGCCAGAGGACGGGGTTGGGAAGGCACCCAGTTTTCAGGGGGGAGTTCATGGAGCAAGACTGCACCTGTTGCCCTTCCCAGAGGGTTCTCCCTCCCCCACCGGGCCTCATCACAGTCCCTGTCCAGAGGGGTCATCTCCGTTTGGATCCGCCTGGTCTTCTTTTTCAGTCAGGTTATGTCAGATTTGGCTTTTCCAAGATAATACACCCAGCTCTGAGGGGTTGATTTAAAAAGTGCCTGAAGGGCCTCCCTGGTGGTACAGGGGGTTAAAGTCTTAGCACTATGAAGCTATCTGCAGCTACTGCAGCACCAGTTTGATCCCCAGCCAGGGAGGTCATCCACAGGGTGCGGTAGACCTCTCCTGCCTCCCCGCTGCTCCCTTCAGCAGTTAGTCAGCCTGTTCTGTCCCCACTCTGTCTCTGGTGAATCCTCTCACCCCCCACACCTCTGGTCTGTACCCCAGCTCTTGTATGCATAAATAAATAAATCTGTAAAAAAATAATAACAAATAAAAAGTGCCTGAAACTTGAATTCAGAAAACCAGATAATTTCAGCTCTCCTCTTACCAGTGGGGTGCTTGAAGACAGACTCTTTCTGAACCCTAAAAAAAATAGAAACTGTGACCATTTCACAGGTTGTTGGTGGGCATTAGAGACAAGAACGTATACCAAATGCCACCACATGCATTTGTAAAGTATTACAGGTTTCAAGGAAAATGGGAGTATAGGTGACTATTTTTAAAAAGACTCCTGCAAGCCCACCCAGTGTGAAAAGCCTGTCGAGACTCTAGATATGCATGTCCTTTCTTCTTCTGTAGCATATAAAGAACCTTATACGTCATTACCTTCTGAGCACTGAACACTCTTCCAGGCCATCCTTTAAAAACACCTATTGTCATGGAGCATATATGCAGAAATGCCCAAGTGTCTGCCAGTTGAGTTTTCAAACATTGGACACACCCATATGTCCACACCCACAACTTCCCTTTGTTCTTCTAGTCACTGTCCCGCAGGGTAGGCGCTGTTCTGACATCTAACTTCACAGATTAGTTTTGTCTGCAGAAACATCCTGTGAGGTAGTCTATTTATAGACACTTTTTGATTTATTTAACCAACTCCCAGTTGGACAGCTTGCTCTCTGCTCAGTGTTTTTTTTTCCATTATAAAACAAGCTACAGTGAACGGCCTAGAGTACAAACACTGTCTACGCATTTCTGATTCTTTCCTTTGGATAAATTCCCGAACATACGATTTTAAAAGATCAAAGAGTATGAACGTGAAGCCCCGAAAGCTTCTGATAAGCATCATTTTATTGCCCTCTGTAAGGCCGTGACATTCAGAGGATGACTTTTCACAACAGGCTTTGCTATTCTGTGGTTGCCAAGTAGCATCTTTTCGTGTGGTTGCTCTTTGCAAATTGTAACGTGCTCAGTGTGTGCAGTGATAAGTGGCCGCACGGTTGGTAACAATTGGAACCGTCATCCTAACCCAGCATTAGACGCTTCGTGTGCCAGCCCAGCACCCACAGGCCAGTGTCGTGTTGCCCTCTCTGGTTAGGTCAGTGTGTATGTGGGCACTCAGTCAAGTACTTAGGCGTTTCCCCAGGCTCCTGCCCTACCGCCCCTTGGAAGCTCTTAGCATTCCTGCTGCCCCGATTCCCAGCCTGGAGTGGGATTCGCTGGGCCTGGGCGATGTTGGCCAGCAGGAAAGAGGCTTTTCCGGACTCCCTTCCCTGAAATCCCAGTTTGTGCCCTTCATACTTCAGCACCTGTGTGTTTGCGCGGTGACAGGAGGGAACACCTGAGATGTGGCTCTGTAGTTCAGAAAGAGCCCAGTGGTTGGGGAGGTGGAGGTGGCCCCCGGCCACTCTGGTGGCCAGTGTTTTACAGTCAGTGCCTGGACTTTGAGTGTAAAAGGCAGAGTGGACCCATGGTTAGGAACCAGGTTGTGGACCTGGTTCACAGCGGTCTCCACTGCCAGCGGTGACCTTGGATAAGCCTGTGGGCTCTCATCCTCCTGGGTTATGCAAGGACAGAAGGAGATAACCATGCAAAGTGGGGACTGTATTATTGTTGACTTGGAATTCCTGCGAGGGAGATATTCCCATTTTGCTGCAGGAGGCTGAGGACTCCAGTGAGCATCCTGGCTGGTCTCCTGACTTCTAGTGGGTGCTCAGAACTGATAGTTGTTGCTAGTAGTCCCCTGCCCAGCCACAGCCCTGAACCACCTTTACAGCGTAAGACTGTTACACAGCCAGAAAGACAACGCAGGAAGGTGCGTGGGAGGGCTGCAGTGGAAGTGGATTCCCAAGGCCCTGGGTTCTGTCTTAATGGGCTACACTTGCCTACAGTGGGCTTGACAGGCTGACCTTGCCTCCTCAAGGTACCTGAAGCATACCCTGGACCAGTACGTGGAGAGCGACTATACGCTACTCTACCTGCACCATGGCCTGACCAGCGACAACAAGCCCTCCCTGAGCTGGCTGCGAGATGCCTACCGGGAGTTTGACCGCAAGTGGGTTGGGGCCTGGGGGTGGGGGTGCTTCAGGGCCTGAATTGGCTCTGGAGCCAGCAACTCTGCCAGTTTCTGGGCTCTCTTCTGCTTGGGTAGGAGCTCACTCCAGGAGGTTGGTGCCCCTGCCTGGCAAAAGGAACCTGAAGTTGAGTGGCCTGGAGCTAACTCCCAGTTTCTCCTCTTGCTCTGTGACTTCGTCATGTTATTTAACCACTGAGCCTGTTTCCTACTGTGTAAAATGGGACTGCGGAGGCACTGCCTCTCCCCAGGCTCGCTGGATCATCAAATCAGAAAAGGTCCAGTCAGAGCCTAGCTCTGGGCTCCCCTGCCTCACCCGCCCCTGAGTTCCATCCTGCCTCTGCAGGTACAAGAAGAATATCAAGGCCCTGTATATTGTGCACCCCACCATGTTCATCAAGACCCTGCTCATCCTCTTCAAGCCCATCATCAGGTGGGTGGGCCTGCCACCCCTGGTCTCTGAAGCCAGCACCTGGTGAGGCCAGACATCCTGGGGACGGGCTTCCAGAGCTCGCTCCGCTCTGTCTGACCTGGGATGGCTGCTGGGGGGACTCAGGCCTACGCCCGACCCATGCCCTTTCCTCCATCGGCAGCTTCAAGTTTGGGCAGAAGATCTTTTATGTGAACTATCTGAGCGAGCTGAGTGAGCACGTGAAGCTGGAGCAACTGGGGATCCCTCGCCAAGTGCTCAAGTGAGTCTGGGGCCGTGTGCACTAGGGGCGTGCACGTTGGGGGACAGGACGTCTGAGAGCCCCCGGGTGGACAGGAAGCCATCGCAGCGATGGGTCAGTGAGCGAGTGCAAATCCCAGTCCCGTCACAGAAACGCTCCCTGGCCCTCGTCGAAGTCCTCGCTTTCTTGTATGTACAGAGAGGGCTGTTAGGAGGAGAGAAAGAAGTGACTGTAAAACAGCGTGGTGAGACCCCGACAGACAGGCGTTACTGTGACTACAGGGCCGTCTAGAGGGCCTGACCTTCCTTCTGCTCCTCAGGTATGACGACTTCCTGAAATCCACGCAGAAGAGCCCAGCCACAGCCCCCAAGCCCATGCCGCCACGGCCACCCCTGCCCAACCAGCAGTTTGGGGTTTCCTTGCAGCAGTGAGTACAGAGGCGGCAGACCTGGGGCTGGCTGGCTGCTGGGGACTGGGAAGGGCTGCGGCCTGGCTCACTGCTCTTGTTCCCTCAGCCTCCAGGAGAAGAACCCAGAGCAGGAGCCCATTCCACTCGTGCTCCGGGAGACCGTCGCCTACCTGCAGGCCCACGGTGAGCGTGGGGCCCCCAGCGCCTGCAGCCCCCTCCTTCACCAGTCCCTGCTCCCTCCGCTGGTCTGTCCCCTGAGCCGGAACCTGCTGGGCCACTGAGAGAGGCCCAGTGCACAGCACCCACAGACCCGTACTGGAACCTGAAGACAGAGACTGGGGGAGTTGACACGTAGCCCAAAGCTCCCAGACTCACTGGCCCTCTGTTTCCTAGCTCTCACCACCGAAGGAATTTTCCGGCGGTCCGCCAACACCCAGGTTGTAAAAGAGGTGCAGCACAAGTACAACATGGGTGAGTGGGCCAGGGCTGGGCCCGGCCCTCAGGGCCAGTAAGGCCCACGGGCTGTGCGCGTGTGCATGTGTTCGTGCACGCGCGTGCTTGTCACAGCGGGTGGGGCACATGTTTGGCTATTGGGGCTTCCCTGCCTTTGGCCCTGAGAACCGAGCGGTCCAGGGTTGCTGCCTCATTGGCTCTCGGGCTCTGGGCTCGGGTTGATTTGGAGTCAAGCAATAACTGGCATGTAGAGGGGGCCCCACTCCACCCAGAGAGCTGAACCTGCGTCCCCTTGTCCCAGAAGAGGGGAAGGAGGCAGGCGCGAGAGGAGGCCCCCGGAGGGGGAGGTCGGGCAGTGGGGGTGCTGGCCTGCAGGCCGGTCTGCTCCTCTCCACCCTGCCCCACCCTACCCCCCAGGCATAGCTGTGGACTTCGACCAGTACAATGAGCTGCACCTGCCAGCGGTCATCCTCAAGACTTTCCTCCGGGAGCTTCCTGAACCCCTGCTCACCTTTGACCTCTACCCGCACGTAGTGGGCTTCCTCAGTGAGTGCCCCCACTCCCCTCCTCTGCTCTGTGCTTCTGCTGGGTCAGGGCTGGACTCAGAGCAGGCGGGTTTGGCCTGTCCTGCCAGAAAAGCCTGGTTGGGGTCCCCCTGCTGACTTCGTGTCAGGACTCCCCAAGCCAGCGCAGCCCAGGGCCCCTGTAACCTGGGCCCCATTCGTCACAGACATCGATGAGAGCCAGAGAGTGGAGGTGACGCTGCAGGTCCTCCGGACGCTGCCCGAGGAGAACTACAAGGTGCTTCGCTTCCTGACTGCCTTCCTGGTGCAGGTGAGATTCGCCTCAGCCTCCACTGTCCCCTGGGGGTGGGAGGATGAGCCGCCCTGCTTGCCGCCCCCCCGGTGTTGCTGGGCTTCCTGCTGCAACCCCAATTCCCTTCACAGATTTCTGCCCACTGTGACCAGAATAAGATGACCAACACCAACCTGGCTGTCGTCTTCGGCCCTAACCTGCTGTGGGCCAAGGACGCCGCCATCACCCTCAAGGCCATTAATCCCATCAACACCTTCACCAAGTTCCTCCTGGACCATCAAGGGGAATTGTTCCCCTGCCCTGACACCCAGGGCCTCTGAGTCCAGCCCCTGCCGCACAGCCCCCTCTGATGGCGCAGTTGGGACTCCCTCCTGGCTTCGGCCTTCCAGGAGCCCGGGGCTCCTGCCATGGAGGGGCGGTGAGGCCCCGGGAGATAAGCCTGGAGCCAGCCAACAGGGCGGCTCCTGCTCCCCTCCTGTCCTCCCTCGGCTGGCCCTGGAGGCCTCCTGTTACAATACATCTCCTCGCCTTATCTTCTCACTGCCTCCTTAGGTCCTGGCGCCTGCTGGGCTCTCCCCAGCTGGCCTTGACTCAGCAGAAGGACCAGCCCCAGCACCCCTCTTCTGCTTGCCCCTGCCTCTCCTTGGCAACTGCAGATGCCAAATCACTGCCGCTGGGCCTGTAGCCGAGGCTGGTCCCTGCCGGGGGTGACAGGCTGGGCTGGCGCGGGTGGCCCTGCTGAATCTGCCCTTTCTGGGCGCACTCCCGCTGCCGGCACCACCCTGGCCTCTTGGCGGCTCAGCCTGGAGGTTCCACGGCTAAGGAGAGACAAGGCAAATCTGCCTCCTTTTCTGCCTCTTCCACTCAGCCTGGGTCAGCCTTTCACCATGGTCCTGTCCTCAGGTGTCCAGCCCTGCGGCTCTGCTAGGTTGGGCAGGTTGGAGGACAGCGGTGTCATAGCAGCCTCCCCCCAAGGGTGTGCCCTGACCTGTGACAGCTGTTTCAGGTCCTCCAGACCTTGCCTCCGCCCCACTTGGACAGGCCCTGGGTCAGGTTCTTGTGTACATGTCCACAGGGGTCTGGCCTGAAATGACTCAGGGCCTTGGGATCTTTGGTGGCCCCCTGTCCAGCTGGGGACTCTAGGAGGACTGGCAGAGGCTTTGCTAATCCCATTGGCCCCTGCCAAGTGAGCTCTAACCACCTCCCAGAGGCCACGGAGCTCGAGGGCCTTGTCTTTCAGAAACGCTCCCCTGAATGAATGATATTCCATCTTGGAGAATACTGGGGACCTCCCCTTCCTGTAACCTTGTCCCCTGGCCACAGGGAAGTGTCTGCACAGGGGCCCCGCCCCCACCACCTTGCCAGAGCCTGCACAGGATGGGGGGTTTCCCACTGACCGGCCTGGCCTGAGGCCACCTCACCGGGCCCTCCCCCCAGGTCACTGGCTTGTCAGGACCCCGGGCCCTGGAGGGGCTGCTGTTCTGCCAGTTCCTGTCTGTGGCCCTGGCCAGGCCTCCTCCTGCCCTTATTTGTATATCAGGTGTTGCTCCAGATGTTTCCTGGGCATCCCTGTGGTCTATGGGTCTGTGTGTCCTGCCCACAGTCTGTACCTGGGGTGGGTTGGTACTGTGAATCAAGTGTTCACACTCACTGACTTCCTTGGCACCAATCATGTACTTCACCTTTGCACTTTTGTATTTCAATAAAAATGGAGTGGAAAAGTGGGTGTGGAGGCTCAGGACTGGGAGGGACGGGTGGCGGGGCGGGTGAATTACCCACAGGATGGGCCTGGGCACGTCCCCGCCCCCTCCCTCCTCTCCGAGCAGGCAGACGTCTTACCAGTGTCTCTGTCCATTTGCACCCATGCACTCTAGTTGGTCACCATGTGCTGAACCCAACGGCCAGGCCCTCTGACCCCAGGTGAGCGAGCTGTGAGAGACTCTGGGCTTGGAGTCCGACTTCACCCGCCCCTCCCGTAGCAATCATGCCGCCGCCCCGGCTGAGATGGCTCAGTCTCGGAGGCTCAGAACCAGTGTGTGTGTGGCACACACAGGGCAGTGGCCAAGCGCTGGGCAAAGTGACGGTCCCGGCTTCACAGAGCCAGGGACTGGAACTGCCCCTCCCCCTCAGCCCTAGGACCTGGGCAGTGTCCACCTGCCAGCTCGTCACATGGAGTCTATGAAAGACCCTCTCTAGTCCCTCTTTCAAGCAGGTTTCCTTTTAAGATTGAGGTGGTAAAGGTTTCTTTTGGTGTATTTTACCACAATCTAAAGAAATGGTGTGTCAGTGGGAGGGCAGGCCCCTCGCACAGAGAAGGCAAAGCCCCCGCTGCTGCTGCTGGCCGGCTGACTGCGGCCAGATTACAGTGGCCCGATGCGGCCTTTTCACTCCTGATTCTTTTTTTTCCTCAAGCAGTATTGTGGAGATGTGGCTCTAAATAGTCCACAACTGTGGCCTTCATCCGGGTAGCATGAACAGAAGTCACGACAGCCTCGTTCTGCTCAGGACTAAGTGTGGCGGCTGCTCTGAAGCCACTAGCAGTGACCCAGCAGTGACCCAGGAGAAGCCAGCAGTGAGCAGAGGGTGCTGGGAGACTGGGAGGCTGTTTGCTGGGGCTGGGCTCCTGGCAGTGGCTGCAGTGACTCCTTCAGTTTTCCCAGCCTTAGTAACAGCGGTCTCTGGGGGTGCAGTGGAGGGAGACGCTTTTAAGGGACAGGACACCCTTGTCAGATTTGGGGCAACTGAATTTCATTTTGAGAGGATGCCAGGTGCGGACACGAGGGACAGTCTTCACCACTTCTGGTTCAGGGGCAGCGGCTTTCCTGACTGGCTGCGTGGTCAGGCATCACGGGCAATGTTGAGTGTTTACTAATGAGCGAGCAAGTACTCCCAGGGCCCTGGTATGGGCTGAATTTAGAATTTTATAACCGGCCCCTCTCTGGGAGCTGGTTTCAGCCCACAAGCGGGGAGGCCAACCAGCCAGCAGTTGCCCAGGGGTCTGTGTGGGAGGCTGGCTCCCTCTTCCCCGCCTTGGGGCACAAACCAGGAGGCCGGGGCTTGGGTTACCAGGGCTGAGATGCCTGGGCAGAAGCCCCAAGCGCCAGGCCGGAATAGCCTCCCGGGGCTCTCCTCCTTTTCAGGGCTCCTCAGAGAGTACCCCAAGGCCTGGATGGGTGACAGATCAGGGATCAGGACAGCTAAACAAACTTGCAGGGCCCCTTCCTGCTATTTCACTCAGCCCTCTGCTGAGCCAGAACCCTCACCCTGGGTCAGCAGACACCGCACAGCCTGGGAAGCCCCCCACCCTGGCCCAGTTCCTGCTAGAGCATGGCAGACAGAAGGGTAAAGAGTAGATGGCGAAGGCCTGTGTTTTATGGAGACTCTTCCATGGCAAGAAAACACAGCTTCGTCCACGTCAGCTCGCTGAATGTTCACACTCAAGCCCCGGAAACGACACGTTACAGCCGAGGGAAAAGTGCTCTCATGGGTTCTGGGCCAGGTCAAGGTGAGGTGCACAGCTGGGGGGCGGCCAGGCCCCCAAATTCCAAAGCATCTGACACCACTCCCCCCCTTCTAGGGAGCCTGCTGCTCCCACCGACACAGAAGTGGGGTTGGGAGGCTAGCAGACAACTTGCAGGACAGAAAGCTGTAAAGTACAGAAAAATTTTATTGGAAACCTCTTAATACATTGTAAAGTATAGCTCAGTATTTCCATACAAGGTAGACTGGAGGACGGGGGCTGCTCTGGAGGCAGGCTGGCCCTGCCCTGTCCCGGGGTGCTGCGGGAGTCAGCCCAGGCTTCACTCCTTTACTGCTAGGGCCGAGGGCAGGGCTGGCCTCGCCGGCTGCTCCACTCCTGCCAGGCTCAGCCAGGTCAGGGCTCAGCCTCCCTGTCCTTCCACTGGTGGGGTCCTGAGAAGGGCTGCTGCCTGCAGGGCCAACAAGTAGGGGTCAAAGGGAACTGTTCTGGACAACGGCTCACAGGCCTTTCATGCAAGGCCTTGGAAGGAGGGTAGCGGCTGAGATCCTGGGGGTGGGGGTGTCAATCAGTAACCTACCCAGAGCCTCGGCGGCGCCTTTGGGTGGTTCAGCAGGCCATGGTGTGCTCTGGCCAAAGCTAGTAGGGGCCACTGGGACACTTTTGTGACAGCAGGAGGCATGCACAGGCAGGGCTCAGCCTCGGCTGAGACAGCATCCGCTGATCCTGCCCGGAGGTCAGCCTGGAGGCGGAAGTGCCGCTGCGTAGTTTACTGACAAGCAGCCCAGGCCTGCTCTGCTCAAGACCAGCTGCTGCCAAGGAGCCCCTGCGGGCCGGGCAGGGGGCCGGCGGGGCTCGTGCTCCTCGGCCGGGACCACCAGTTAGGCTGGGAGAGGGCCTGACGGCCGGTGGGGGGAGCTAGGCACTTGACTCATTCAAGTAACAAGACCTGGAGGCTAAGTCAATCTATGCCCAGCTCTGGTTTCTCAACAAGGAACCGATCCAACCCATAAGCCCGGGGCAGGGTGCATGCCCCGGGAGTGGGGAAGTAGCCAGGTGCAGGCTGAGGGAAGTAGCCCATAGTCCAGCCCGGATCAACAGGAACAGGTGCCCTAGGAGGGCCACTGTGCCCCCCCTTCCCCAGCAGGGGCGGGGGAGGGCAAGCTGTGTCACAGTCTGCACCTGAGACCCAACAGGCTGCCAGGGCAGTCGGTCACTGCAGAGGCTGGAGTCGAGGTTCTCACCAAGAACATGTAGGTGTCCAAGGTGAACCCTGTGGTCAGTTCAAATGCATGGGCTGAGAGGCTGTTGCCCTGAGCCAGCCCATGCTTGCACGATGCCTTACACGTACGGACAGGAGGATGCTCAGAGCAGCAGCCCGGGATCAGAGGAGCCGCCGCTGGAGGAGGCCCTGCCTGGGAAGAGGCCCTCGCCTTCCCCAAATGTGAGCCGTCTGGCTAACCTCAAGCATATTTTCTCTATAAAATATCTGATTTCTCTGAAAGTAATAAATATTTACTGTGTTCTAGAACCAAGGAGCAGCAGCAGGAGGAGGAGAGACGAAAGATGTGCTGTGACTCCCAACACCACCGGACCCTGGCCGTGCAGCGGAGGAGCTGGGCGCAGGCAGCCACCAGGGCCGCACGGGCCCTCTGACCACCTCTGGTGGGAAGGGCCGACTGTGGAGTCCTTGTCCCCGTGGGCGGAGGCTGTCACGCTGCCAGAGGTGCAGACACAGGCCAGAAGTAACGCTGGAGACAGCGCAGAGGGCCTTCCTTCCCCCTCCCAGCACTGTCTCCTTCCTCTTTCTGCCTCCGTGCCGGCCTCTGGGCCACCAGCCGGAACGTCGCGTGGTTGATGGTATGGCAGGCGGGAGAGGGGCCAGCGGTAAGGCCGACCCCGGACAGGAGGCTGGCAGCAGGACAAGCGAAGCAGCCTGTGTGGAGCAGCTGACGATGACGCTGAGGAAGCACACGGCTGGCTGAGGGCCCTCTGGTGACACAGGGTCTTCCCACCTCCGAGGCCGGAGGGCGCGTTCTCTCAGATGCTGCTGGGCTTGGCTGCTGTCACGGAGTCTCCAGGAGGTGCAAGAGCGGGGCTTCTAGGTCCCCATGGGGGAAACCAGCCTCTCCTCCGCCCAGCTAGGAGCAGGATGAGGGATGGAAGCAGCTGATGAGTGGGAAGCTGTCTCCTGGGATCACATAGGGGCCGCTGCTGGTACTGGCAGACACCAACTTTTACTGCAGGGTTTCTACAAAGGCATCAAATTCTCGGACATTCTTCTCGTGCACAGCCAGTTTCTCTGGTAGTGAGTCCTGTGTGGGGAGGGAGAGAGGCAGTGAGTCTTGTGTGGGGAGGCCCTGCTTATTCAGGCAGGGCCTTGAAGAGACTGCCGGTCAGCCACCCTGAGCTGAAGAAGAGCAAAGAGCTGGCTGGGCGCAGCAATACTGGGCTGGACGAGCAGAAGGCAGGGCGCAGAGCAGCCACCACACCTTGGGCTTCTAGAGGGGCCTGAGGGGAAAGGAGGGTGTTGACAGAACCCCACAGGATGGGTCAGAGAAGGAGCACACCACCACCAGGATGACACAGTGGAATTAAAGAAAGGTTCAGTGTCTTTGGCACAGATCGCAGTGACGCCAGGATAAAACAGTAAGTGTAGAGCTCTATTAAGTTTACAAAATGTCTTCACACCTCGTGTTGGGTATCAGAATCCCCGGGGGCCCATGACCAAGGCATTCGCTGCTATATCCCACTGTCCCCCAACTGGGCTAGAGGGAATGAAGAGAACAGTGAAAAACAGAAGAAACCAGAACTACAAGGAGTAAACTTAACTGGTCTCAAGAAACAAGTATTAACATAAACTTGAGTCTACGCCGTCTAAAAGGAGCAAGAACGCTCTTCAGCCAGTGCTGAGTAGCTAACACCAATGCACCTGCAGAGTGGACCCATGCTGGAAGTTTCCAGATAAGCGCCAAGTAGTGGGAGAGGTGGGGTGCCCTCCTGCCTCAGCACTTCTCACACAGCCCAGACAGTCCCGGGGCCCGGAGCCCATTGCCCGCCACACCAGCTGTGGAGCACTGACAGTCTTCAGTCCCAGCATGCGTCAAGCGAGGCAAGGAAGTCTGCAGTCATGGGCCCCACAGCAGGAGCCAGACTCTCAGAGCAGATCTTGGTGTTGCTGGCTCTATGTGACCATGGGCAAGGTGTCTGTTCAGTTTTGGACTTCTCCTCTGTAAACTCAGGCAGTAAAAAAAACCTACCTCAGGCTGCTGAGATTCATGCTAAAGCACTTAGAAAAACGCCTGGCCCCCTGAAAGCCTCGGGAAAGGCCACAATGACGTGACTGCAGTCACTGCGTCTCTGGTTAGGGCAATCAAGGGCAGCTGTTCCCAGGTCGCTGCTTCTCAGAGCAACTCCTCGCCTGTCGACGTAAGCAGGGGCCCCCTCCGCCCATGCAGAGGCATCCTGACATCTTGGGGCTTGGGGCACCCAGAATGTGGCCCAGCAGGGTGCTGCTCTACCCCTCGAAGGCAGGAGTGGGAGGCGGGTGCAAGTAGCTATCTGGCTACCCACAAGGGCTGCTCGCTGAGGGAATGAGCTCAGCAAGGAAGGGAAGAATGGCACAACTCGGACCTCCCATTTCTTCCACTCGGCACCACCAGCCTCTGCCTGGCAAGTTAAACAGCCTGACACAAGAGCTACCAAAGCCAGCTGGCCTAGTGGCATCACCAAACAGAAGGCGTCAGCACAGAGCACAGGAGTACGTGAGCAATGCAGAGAAGCTGTGGAGACTGGGCGAAGTGAGCCCAAGCAGACTCCAAGTACCGGCTACCAGGCACAGTGCACACCTGGAACATGGTCCCAAGAGGACAGTGGCCTCGCCAAGTCTCTCTGATGTTACAGGGAAGGGAGGTGTGGGAGTAAGAAACTGGAAGAAATTTCTAGGCCTGCGGAGAGGGCATGACCATGGGGGAAGGGAAGTCAAAGACAAGCAAGGGCGGGGGGAGAATCTCCATACCAAGTCTTCGGCCATGGACTGTGCGCCGATGTCTACTGAGAGGCTGCTCAGCTGAGGAGGGTTCTGAAACTCACGATAGAAGGTCCCCAAGTCCATTGGAAGAATGTCGTCTTTAGAAAAGGCCGGTTTCTTCAAAAAGAAAAGACTCATTTAGCTTGCCTTGGAAAGAGGCAAACAGAAGACCATCCCAGAGGAGGTGAGCTGTGGCCAAGCCTCTTTGCTTCCAGTGATCATTCAAGAAAAGGTTCCCCAGGTTTCCTAGGGAGAGGACTCACTGCACCTGTCCCCCAGGGGCAACTGACCGCCACACCTGGGATCATCACTCCTCTCCCTGTTAGGTACACGTCTCCCTTCAAAGGCCTGTTCTTCACGAAGGCCGCCCAGCTAGGCATAAGTAGGACCCACACGATCATGCTAGGAAAGCCCCAGGTGGACCAAATTCCAACCAGAGACAGCTCACTGCCCTGCGCTCCCGAGAGGCTACCTGTGCTGCGGTCCGCAGGTGCGGACTGCCGGTGCCCTGTGGATGCTGCCTACGGGGTCCCTGCGAAGGAGTCCCATGGAGTATGGTGGCTCCGTCCCAGCCTTTTTCCCCTTGGGGTTGCACAGGTCACAGACGGTGACAGAACCTACCAAATCAATCATGACGAAATCATCGTGAGAACTGCCGTTGCTGCCCCTGCTGGAGCCATTGGAGTGCAGGCTCCCCTGGAGAGGAGAGTCCGGCTCTGGGGAATCGGGTGGGTTCACCTGTTCCAGAACAAGGCAGAGGAAGGGGCTGGTACTGTGCACTGGGTGCAAGTGACCGTTACGGGTTTCGTAAGGACCCGACGCTGGCTGCAAACCCAGGCGCCAAGGGACACACTGCCAGGAAGGACAACGGCTTACTGCACGGAGACTTTAGGTGAAGGTGGGCTCACCATGGGGTCTGCGTCCTCCAGCTCCAAGTTCTTGGGAGCAAACATGGCAAAGGGCACGTCCAAACTGGTCAGGGTCACCTGAAGAGACAGGAGGAAGCATTGGTCCCACCCTCAGCCGAACTCTGATTCCCGAGAGGCTGCCAGAATCCTGCAAGGCCCCCAAGTTGAAACGCCCAGAAGACCGGCTCCCCACTCCCAATGCCTGTCTTGTTGGAGGCCTGAGTCCTCCCTCCACCTCCCATTAAAGCTCACAGCCCAGACAGGAGCTAGCTTCCCAGGAGCTGAGAACTCAGTGAGGAAGCCTGGCCCACCGTAACTCGGTACAGCTGAGCTTCCCTGGCAGAACTGAGGGGGAACTTCCTGCAGTGAGGCTGAGCAAGGGTACTTCAGGTCGATATGTTCGTTCTAAATGGTGTCTAGTCTCTCCTGTGGCGATTTCAGTGGCATCACAGGCCACAGGCTAATAACCCTGAGTGCAAGACCTCACCATAACGGTGCAGACATTTCTACAGGTGGTAGTGACAGAAAAAAATCACCTGATTGATGGGTTTGTTGACAAAAGCCCCTACTTTGCGGACAAAGATGGTCTCCAAGACATCGTGCGGGGAGGCGCGCCCCTCGCTGCTGTTTGACACGGTTTCAGTATCCTCGCTGCAGGAGAAAGGT